AATTCGATAATAGAGAACTGAAAATTGGAGCGAATAGCCAAAACGTGTCAGGATCGCAGAATGCGCAGTAAGTCAGACCACCCTTCACAAACGCTCTTTGAGAACACAACGAACTTCAAGGGCTTAAGGGTTAATCATCCTTGAAGGGTACAGGTAGTGGCCGTGGGCACAGACAAATATATAAGGAGGGTAGAGGTTGGAAGAGGTACATTGCCCTTATCCTTTTAGGCCTACTTAGGTAGGTACGTATACCTATTTCGTCATGAAAGTCTGTAGTAATTGTTTCTAAAGTATTTTTTTTCATGAATTGCAATGCTAATATGAGAGTATAGTCCGTTCATAATTTGTTGATAGCTCACTGCAATTCCTCAATTATTTTGCAACAAATCTGATCTCTTAGTTTGCTTTCAGTCGATGCACGATACCGCACGATACCGTAAAGCGATTTTTAATTTTTTGAGCGAAAACCATGCGTCGGACAAAGAAAACCCAGCAAATCAAATGTGCTCAAAAATGTATGGAGATTTTAAAAATATCATTCTGATTTGATAGCATTTAGAGTTCAGTGAGCCGGTGAGACTTTTGCAGTGTGTTTTAAAAGTAAGATCGTTGTCAAGAGAAATGCCCAAGAATTTAATAGTGGTACAGGGTTCGATAGAGATACCGCATAGGTTCAGGTTTAAGGCAGGTAAATTGAGGTTTTGACTGGTATGGAATGTCATGTAGTTTGTTTTGGAAGGATTGAGATATTGCGAGTTTTTACTTAACCAACCGTGTAGGATATCAGTGGTGTTAGATATTTTATTTTGGAGTTCTAATTTTGATTTATCTGAGAGGAGTAGAGTAGCGTCGTCAGCATATAAGCATTGTCGAAACTATCAAGAACAGTTTTCTCTTAACGTGTGGCTCGGAGTTATTGGGGATGATTTAAGTGGGCCTCATTTTCTACCTCGTCGATTAAATGGTGAGGCATATGTTGTTTTTAAGAGAAGTGCATCCAGTACTGCTGGAGGAAGTTCCTTTGGGCGTCAGAAGGGATATGTTTTTTTATGCATGATGGGGCTTCCGCCCATTTTAGTCAAGTAGCACGTCAGCATTTAACTGAAACATATGCGAATCAGTGGATAGGAAGAGGAGGACCACATAACTGGCCTGCTCGATCCTGTTCACCAGAAACGTCTAATGTGCCATCCACCGTGAATCAGCCTGTATAGGGTGTAACAAAAAGGTAGGTCATAACTAGAACCGCATAGTCACTGAGTAAAAATTGATGTCGTTTTCTCAACGAATTTCCTGTTAATCAAAGAGGTTTACCTGATGCTCATCGCTCGATGTAACAAGATATGCCTGTATTGCTGGCGCACCTAAAATAACTTCAGAAGTCATCTTCTCCCGGAGTTGTTGTAACCGCATTGTTGTATTGACTCTGCGAATTGGCTGAACTGCATGTCCGAATTTAGAACAAGCCTTTCTCAATTCTCCTCTCTGTTTCTCCCGTTCTAATTCCGAGTAGCATAAAACCAAAGTGCAACCTGAAAAAGAGATTTGAATCAGTGAGTTATCATTTTCTTCGGAATATTTTTTATACATAAGTGTATATTTTTTAGCCACAACAGAAATGTACAAGAGAGTGTGTTAATGGGGTATCTCGGTATTACTATAAGTACTTAATACAAATTCTAATAAAATCAACAGAAATTCACATATCAATTTTTTTATAAATCTACATCTCAATATTCTAACTTTGATCATTTGGATCAACACCTAGAATTCTAAATGAAAGTGATATAAAAGTCAATAAGAAATCATGTACATTCAGCACAACATTCTTCAGAAACAGGGCATAAACCAAAGTACACTAATATTTGGGGTACATAAACTTTTAAGAGTTGTCGTTCGTAGGGGTGCGACAGCTGGTTACCGGAAAAACTTATTTCAAACATAACACACACATATAGTGGAAATGTGTGCATGTGCATTGGAAATACGACTCTTCGACTTTCCTACGGTGTGAAATGGCGATAACTCGAGAACGTTGCTTTTTAAGGAGAAGAGTATCGATACCATTTTTGTAGAGAATTGAATAATCCACAAACTTCATCCGAATCTCGCGAAAAACAAATACTTGTGACCTTTGACCTCGACTAAAAAAAAAACGCATAAGTGGAATCGATGGGGACTTTTGACATTTCATTTATAATGATGTATTTAGAGTCTGTACAAAAAAAAATCAGCTTGTTGCAAACTCTTGCGAACTCAGCCTTCTTTTTCGTCTATTTTGTCTGGACTATTGAGATAGTCGATGTCGATGATAAGCGCGCAACATATACTTAGGCCATGAAAACGTTTGCCGGCGTTTCCATGACAATCAAACACTGTACAATGATTACTATTGCTGCCAGTTTGCCAAATACGGTTTTAATTCAAATTTAGATGTCATTTTGAAGAATTAAAAGCGTATTTCCAATGTTCAATTTCCTATTTCTAGTTGATAATTAAGTTATATCTTTAAAATTATAGAATTGTTCTCATTATTTACCTAGGTGTTTTTTTTATTATCATCATTTACCTACTAAGGGTGAGAAATATTAATTCTCTTTAGGGGAATGGAGTAAATAATAGCAATTTCTCAGGTTAGTAGTGAAAAAAGATATAACAAACCCCAATAAACTCAGTAACTTGGTGAAGAGTTATTTGATTGAGAAATGTTTTTATAATTTGCAAGAATTTTACGATTCGTAATATGTAAGTGCACCTGTGCTGTATTTTATTTTATTTTTGTTATTGTTGTTCTAATAACAACGGTGTTGTGAAATTGTGTGAATTTTGTGTCATGGCTTTTATGTATACTTTGACGATTCCAATACATGTCATCTGTGTCTAATGAAAAATAAATATTATTATTATTGTTGTGATTATTATTAAGTAGAGCTGAGCTTTTATTTAATTTTTCGACTGAGATACCCCGTTAATCCATTTTCCTGTACATTTCTCCAGTCGCTCACATAATCAAGCCGAAAGTTACTGGAAATACAATAAATATTCGTATGAAATCAGTTTTATATCTACTTTTTCCGGTTCTTTAAATGATATGGTCCCACAAATTGTAATGTAGGTAAAACAGATTGAACTGATCATTCATAAATTGACGTAAATTTACATTGTATTCAAAATGTTCTATAAATTACTGTAGTGAAGCATGAGCAAATACTGGTAAATAAGCCAAATTTGATAAATAAAACATGAATTAAGTTCTTGCAGGATAGAGAAAATAATTTAGACCTAATGAGAGCCGTAACCTCTTTCCACCTCTACACTCCTTTCGTGCTTGTTACTACTCACGGACGTTATTTCAACCCTTCAAGGGTGCGTTTTTATTCCTTTGCTTACACGTGGTTATAACAGGATCGCAAACACATTTATTTATTTTACAAATCCATTCAATAGTTGCCAATAGTATGTTAGTGTTTAGGGAAGGCGATCAAATTTACGAAGGGTAGATTGGCTTGCCACGGTTTCTGTTATCCTGTCAAATTTTGGCCGTTCGCTCCAGTTTCAGGCTCCCACGCCTTATTTGTTCTATCTGATTTTTTGTTTTATCTGCTTTTTTGTGGTTGGACTCACGTTTACTTTGATGAATTCAGTTTATTGTCATTTGAACTCAGTTAATAAAATATGCAGTTAATCCTGTCAATATTACAGCTGGAAGATGACACCAACGCCGGTCGATTTCATCTGCTGTCTGCCATAGTTCTTGTAACAATGTTACCTTCAGTTGGAGTCAGGACCGGTCTGAGGAATGAAATAATGAAACGGTACATTCTATGTTTGACGGTGGTTGACAATGTTTCATGGTGAATTCCATTAGGTCGAACTTCCATTGTCTTATATGATATAAAATGATTTGAAATCCCAGAAAGATCAATAAAATTAAAATAAATAGTAGAAAACAACAATTATATTAAGCAAAAAACCTTGAAATGAAATTACAATAAAATAAAATACAAGCAACAATTGAACGATAAAAAAAAGAAATGAAAATTAAAAGATTTCAAGCCAAGTGATTTCAGAACGCTTGTGGATACTAACAATCAAAACGTTGATTTTGAAAGGTGTCAGTTCATGAATAAGAAATTGTCGAGTTGGTGGTTGTTTGAAAATTCATTTGGTTGTTGAATGGCTATTTGCTTCCTACTGCAGAGTTTACAAACAAATCTGCATATGCATTCTCTTTTGCAACTGAGGTTATCAATGACTATTCTTTATTTAAGTTTTCTGCTGTATAGAAAACCATTTTCGCTGTTATAGAAACAGTTCATTATAGCTTTTTTCAACACCTGCATGATGGTTGTCGATGTAGTTAGATCTATTTATGCCTTTTCTCCCTATAAACATTTGTATCAATATGATCTGACGACTTTTTCAACATAACATCGAGAAAAGGAAATTCACCATCTTGTTTCACTAGTCTTCCTTTTTTTATCAATAATAATCAATGTATTGAAAAAGATATTGTCCTGATTTACCTCAAAAATATATTCCTTACCCAATTTACAAAGGAGGTGAACAAAAAAATTTTTCAAATTATCGTCAAATTGCTCTTATTTGGAAAAATATTTGAAAAAATGGTTAAATGTCCTCAATTCAACAATCAACTTGGAAAAGACCATTTTCATGATTTTTAAGCAAAAAAATATGAATCTTTAAATTGAGAACAAATTAATCAACCAAGTTGAAAAACAAATATTAAGGCCTACTAATTGATAAAGATTTAAATTTTGAGTCATATTAATAAAATTAATTCTACCACTAGCACTGATGAGAACAATCAGAAGAATGACTAGTGTGTACAAAATCAACTAATATATAATTCATTTTCATGATTGACAGTATATTATCACTTCATCAGTTTAATTAGTATCTGAATGAAGAGATGTTATTGCAAATTCGTTATTCCAATTCAAATTACTCTTAGTATAGCTTCAATAAAAATGATTAGAAAAATTATTGTGATAATTTATTTGTCACACAATAACTATACAAAAAGTTTCAAGATTCTTGTTCTTGAAGCTTGGCCAAAAATGATTTCTTTTTCTGTGCAACACGGTCCTTGCGTTCAGCCAAAGTAAGCTTCTTGCGGTTCCACCTCTTTCTTGCTGCTGGAGGTGCTTTATCTTCCTTCTTTGCAGGCTCAGGATCTGCACGAATTGCTGCATGAGCATTCTTATATAGAGTCTCAATCTGAAATGACATTCAATAGTTAAACAATGTAATATATGTTAGTGAATTCAATATAGAAAAACTTTTATTGAGAGCATTTCAACTCCATGAAGATAACATCAAAGTTTTGAAAAAAAAACTCAGCCCCAGTTATTGAGCATAAAGTGAGGTCCATATAACAATTTGTTAGAAAGAAACGCTTCTCTTCTTTGGTGCCCAGATTTGACTTCTATGTTGATCCACAGATGGTGTCTTCGAAAGAGAAGTCATCATAATTTCTATAAAAATTTTTGAGCAGTTTTCTAACACATTTTAAAACAAATTCTAATTTTATCACCAGTGTAATGAAGAAATAATTTTAAAAGAGAAAAAAATTCTAGTGCATTTAGTGGGCTTTTCAGAATCTTATTTTCAACATAATGCTTATCTATCTTTTAAATTTCATTCAAATTGATATTTTGAACACACAGGAAAAGAAAATTCACAATATACTATGTAGAATATATCACTTTGGTTTTTAATGCGACTTGAACTTGAGCGACGTATACCCCCGTACACGAACTCGTTAATAATTACTAAGGCAACTGTATCATGATATTCGTTAATCACAGGCATTATTTTGCCAGTGAGTATAGCGACACATGAATTTATTTGGTCCACATGCGACACGACAGTAGAATACCATCATAGACAATCTTGTTCAATCTATTGGAAACACACCAGAACAAAAATTACGGTCTCCCGACGCGCGTTTCGGTAACCAAGTTAGCATCCTTAGGAGATCATTATGACTAAATTTTACTACTATGTTAGTGTTTTTATATGCTAGTGACCTAACTACTACCTGTTATTGATCCTATGCTAAACTGCCTGTTTTTTAATACCCCTAATCTGTTAATAACCCTAATGTGTTATGTGTTTCTCAAATATGTATCTGTTGTTTATTCAGAATTATTACATATAAGAGCAAACAAAGGGCTGTTCGAAATAGGACCTTTGTCGCTATTCATAGAGCTCATTCCGCACTTTTCGATTTCCAAGCTTCTGAAGGCATCCAGAAACCTGTTGGCATGTACCGATCTCAACAATTTTAAACGTTTCTCACTTATTTTATGGTCGTTCCCTATGGTTAAAATTATTGAAATCGGCACTTGACAACAGGTTTCTGGATGCCTTCGAAAGCTTGGAAATCGAAAATTGTGGAATGAGTTCTATGAATAGCGACAAAGGTCTTATTTCGAAGAGCCCTTTGTTTTAGTGATGGGCATAATCGAATGATTTTGAGAATCGAATGATGAGTACTCGAGTGATCCCAAAAATCGAAATATCATTCGAATGAAATCACTCAGATACTACGTCACTCGTCATTCACCGATTTAATTCGAGATCCGGCGATGCGAGCAATAAGCACGCAATCACTCGATACTCATGAGGTCATGTGCCATGTGAAACGCCCACAATAATGGCAAAATTCGGAATGAACTGGATTATTTTATGAGTTAGGATTGTTTTCGGCACTTGACAACAGGTTTCTGGATGCCTTCGAAAGCATGGAAATCGAAAATTGTGGAATGAGTTCTATGAATAGCGACAAAGGCCTAACTACTAACAGGTAGTAGTTAGGCTACTAGTATATAAAAACACTAACATAATAATAAAATTTAATCATAATGATCTCCTGCAGACGCTAACTTGGTTAGCGAAACGCCGACGCAAAATGCGAGACCGTAATTTTTGTTCTGGTATTGGGAAAGTGATTTCGATAGATTCATTTTACACCAGAGGTTCCAGTACGAACAATCAAACCTTGTTCAACTTGAATAAACAAATCCAAGACATGAAGTAGACAGTTTACTTCATCTTCAGAGACACCAACTTGGTTGGTGAAGAGTGCCTGGTGAAGAGTGCCTTGAGAAGAGTGTTGCAGTTTTGGTGTTTGGGAACAGTGCTCGATTTGGATTCATTCTTCGTGAGAGGTTCCAGTTCTACCTTTCATTGCGGATATATAAGGTTTGAGACACCATAAATGGTGGTTATGTAAGGTTTGAGACACCATAAATGGTGGATATGTAAGGTTTGAGACACCATAAATGGTGTCTATGTAATACGCTGTTTGATTTGTAAAACAGAAAAAATGGTCAATAAATGCTTCATTTAGGAGTTGTTATTCTGAAAATTCAAAAGTTTTAAATCCCCTTTCATACAACACAAGTTTTCAACTTGCGAAATAAGATATACAAAGCTTTCAGCTTTCAGGAAACCAATAACTTGAAAAACCATAAAATAGACAAAAGTTGTTTGATAATATCCCTTTCTGGGGTGTATGTGCTCGGAACCATTTACAGTCTGTTTTTATACTTCAGAAGATGGCATCAAGATTTCCCTGTAAGGTGAGGCGACATAATTATTTAAGGTCTTTGTTGCACACAAAATCTTGTCATTGTATACTTTTTTATATTAAAAACATTGACAATGCCCAACAGGTTGAAACAGCTGTCTACCGGTGGCTCTTAAATTGAAATCGTATTGGGAATGATCAGGATAATACTCATCTTTGCCAAGCTTTCGCTTCTAAGGGGAAGCTTCTTCAGGGCCTATAGTTTTGTGAGTTGTGGATTTTTTCGCTACTGAATAACATTACAAATCATACTTACAATAAAAATTAGTGAAAAACGATCAATTGTAAATATAAATTGATGAAGAAAGTTAAACATGTAAAGGATCTTTTTGGTTTGACAAATGTCATACCTTCACATAAATGTCATTTTTCAATAGGTATGACGATTTTATAATCTTTGACTCTTTGACAGAAAGATAATGATCCTTACCTGGTCAGCATTAATTCCCAATTTAATATACTGACTGAACTGCCTCTTGAAAGCCTCTGGATCTTCTTCCTCCAATGACCTCATATAGTCAGCTACATGGATTCCAAAAATATGATTACGATGTACCTCAGCATTGAAATTCTTAGTTTCATTATCATAACCAGGGAAACGTTTTGTTGAATGGGGAATGTTGAGACCACCATCTACTGCACCCTTCATGGCTGCAAACACGCGAGCTCCTGTACTGGTACGTTGAAGTCCAACATCAAGGTAGCATCTGAAATGATGAATGTGCATAAACGGTTGCAGCTAAAACTTCTAAAGCATTACTAAGAAAACTTCCATCAGAGACACATTATAATCATGTTATTGAAATTTCTCAGCTACCCATTAGTTCCTTTTACGTAAAACACAATAACAGGACAACGGGTATGCCTAGAAAGTAATCAATTCAGATGACGCGCATGTGTCTAAATTCATCATCAATCCATTTGTAAAATAAAATTACTATAAAATCATGTTGAGATATAGCAAAACTATTCATTATACAGAGTGACCCATTTGAAAGCGGGCCACCTCTCTAAAACTGTTATTTATTATCCGATTCAGAAGTTTTTTTTTTCAATAGATAGAGCGTTTAATTGAAACACAATGAAAACTATCATAACACAAAATAATGTAGATCATGCACAGGTTTCTTTCATCCAAAACTTCGCCATTCAACTGATCGGTTTTATGATGAAAGGTTAGTTTAGTACAGAAACCAGTCAAGCAACTATACATATCATGTTCCTACAGTAAATTTTATGTTCATTCGAGTGTACACACCAGACCAATATTCTGAAATTATCCTCAATGTGAGTAAAACAGTACATTTTACTGTACAAGATGTAGCAAATTTCAATGCTTGATAGCCCCCAGTTTTATGAAAACAATGTTATTAAGATGAAACATCTAAAAGGGGTGATTCCAAAATAAAAATATTTCTTTCGAAATTTGGACACACAAATAAAAAACCTTCTAGTGGTTTTGCGAAATTTGATAACACTTATAGTAAGGCTGGTCTGTCAGACCAGTTAGTCTTCCGAACATTCGAAATGGAATTGATATGGATATCATTCTCACAACATAATATATGAAAGTGTATTGATATGAAAATTCACTCACATGGAAAACTATCACAACTGATGTATTCAATTTTTTAAAGTTACCCAAAAAGGTGCTGATAGGAGATGAAGACCAAACTAGAATGTACAACATAAGTGTGATAGTTTGCCATGAATTGATATATACTATATTGTGTTGAATTTCTTCGATTGATATCTGTTTGTATGTTTGGAGTACAAACCAAAGATTTCTGTGTCAGTTAATGTTAATATGTTTGATAGTAATTGTTCCATATATACTTTCTTCCAGTTTGTTTCTGAAAGAAACCTCTGTGCATAACCTACATATCTTTCTGAAGAACTTGTATTGATGGAAAGTATAATGATGGAAAGTAGAAAGCCAAAGTGGTTTTTACTAATATGACTACTAAAATTTAAATATGAGTTAAATTATTTTTTATCGACCTTTTTTGGGTATTTTCAACTTTCACAATCTGAAAAATATGAAAATTATAATGGAGAACTTTATACAGGTGTAGAAAGGGCAAACTTTTCAGTTTACCCGATTAGTTACTGTGTAAAATCAAAGTATTTTTCGCAAAAAATGTTCTATTCATAATAACTTGTCATATTTCTGAAGAATGAGTATTGTCTTATTTCTTACATATGTTTTGATAGACAAAATTATTGAATACAAGTTACTTATAAATAGGACATTTTTCTTTGTTAAAAATACTTTCACTTTACGCAGTAACTTATCAGGGTAAACTAAAATATTGCCCTTTCTACACCTGCATAAAGTTTTCCTTGGAAGTTATTATAAAATAACAACAAAATAAAACTGTTGTAGCACCATGAAATTATAAAACAATTTTGCTGATTGGAATGTTGCTGGATATGGATATGGATTGTATGGATACGTATCAACGTATCCATACAATCTTGAATGTATAATTTGTTCAAATAATGTGGAATATTGATACTGCCGGGGTAAATTAAAAACGTTGCCCTTTCTACACTTGCATAAAGTTTTCCATTAAAATTTTTATATTTTTCAAATTGTGAAAGGTGAAAATTCCCAAAATAGGTTGACAAAAACTGATTATTCTTCACAAAAATTGATTTTCGTTCAGTTTCATCTTACCGAATATTTTTTTAATCTTTGTTAATGTTGAAGGTAGTCCTGCTTTGTTTGTCAAAAATTTAATAAAGGGGGTTTCTGAAATAAACCGCTCAGTTGCACATAGTTGACACCAAAAAAAAATTATTCGAAGACTAAGATGGATTTATGTAGCACCAATTTTCATATTCACTTTCTTTTTAACTAAGTATAGTTTTCATCAAGATATAACAGATATTTCATGTGGCTCTATTGTTTCTTGAACAAAGCATGCACACTCAGCATATTTTATCATATGAATTCATAAACAAAAGCAGCCCAACGTTGTTAGTTGAATTTTTGCAGGTTGTGAGCACCTAATACATTTACTTGGGTAAATATTCGTTTTGAGGGCAACCGGCGATTATGAAAAAATGTTCGAGTGTAATTACGTATTTTGATGTGTAGATTACGAATCCGAAAGAAAAAAGCGGCACTCTCCCTTATTTCCAAAGTTATGGCCCTTCAAAGTTCAAATAAGGACAACTTTTCAGCCTTCGTTTTCACAAGATAAACAATTTAAAAACACAAACATTTATTCACTAGGTCACCTTTACACATTATTCCTCCTCCTTAATTGACACTTTTCAATTCAACAATCAACATTTTCTTAGAAAAAACTCAATTTAAAAACGAATGCAGCATCAGTCATACCAACTATGCCATTAACCTCAAAAACGTAAAATACAATCAATAAGCAGCTCCATACATTTTTCAATATTTTTTATTGAAGTGAAAAGTGTCAAGGAAGGAGGAATAAGGTGTAAAGGTGACCCAGTGAATAAATGCTTGTGTTTTTGAATAGTTATCTTATGAAAAAGAAGGCCTTTTTCTGAACTTTGAAGGGCCGTAATTTTGTAAATAAGAGAGAGTGTCGCTTTTTTCTTTGGGATTCGTAATTTACGCATCAAAATATGTAGGAGACTCAAAATTTTTTCAAAATCACCGTGTGCCCTCAAAATAAACATTTACCTTTACCTGAAATCAATATATCAATCATAATACAGAGATAATTTTTTGAATCTTGACAGAATGAACAGTGTTCATATTTGCAAAAGTAATCCATAATTTCACTAGGAATAGTGGACTTCCTAAAGTGAGTGAGAAAGTTGAAGTATTTGTCGCCGAACACCTACATAATGTGTTTTATACATAAACTACTCTACTGAAAACCAATAGTTATTCTTTTATAGTGAACATGGGAGAGAAAAAGAAGTTGAAAGTCGATACTGCAAAAGTTTACCTCAAATGAAGAATATGACTGTAATATAATCCTACTACACTAACCTGAAAGCTCCTGGGCCATTTTCAACACCTTCAACATTGTATTCATCTCCAGTTACGTCAGTTGTTCCTTCATACAAGGTATCAAGTCCCAGTTTCTTCAGTAATCGGCGAGCCAACAACAAACCTGTAGCATAGGCTGCTGCATAATTCGTCAAACCAGCCTTAATCCCATACTTGGGCAACTCATGAGAATACGCAGCGCAGACAATCTTATCACCTTCAATACGAGAATACGCAATTTGACAGGTTACGTTACGATTAGAAAGTCGTACAATCAAACGATATTTGGGGGTGTTGTACTTATTCTTATCTTGGACGATGAGACGTTTACGAGCATAATAATCAGTCTTTCCCTGGCGACGCCTCTTGAACTTTACTTGATAGCGCTTGAAGTACTGTTTATTCTTCACGATTTTAACGAAAGTCTAAAAAAAAACACAAATTTGTAGGTGACAAAAAACTACAAAATATCTCAATATTGTATTGGAGTATCTTAACCTGATTCTTTGATTACATTTTTTAATGCTTCTCAAACATGTTCTTCACAAATAAGCCCTAGGCTTGTAGTTTTCAAAAATCACAAAATGATATATAAATGTGCCGATAGAACTGATATACTATTGAATTTTCAGATGAACATGTCAAAAGATGAATCTGGACAAATCGACGTTCATCCCTGTCATAAAGTATTAAAATAAACTAAACACGAATTATATTTTGAAAACTACGTTGCATTAACAATTATATACGCATATTTTCCGATCAGACTTACCATGTTATATTACTGAAATGTAATGAAATAGGGACAACTCACAAAAATGGTGGACTCATCAGGACCACAACATGGAAAAAGAATCTGAAATGTATTCAGCAGTGTTGCCAAATTGAAATATTGAAAAGGAAGTTTGTTTTGATCGGATTTTTGACAGAATAGGGAAGGCATGCGTTTTTTTAACCATTTAACTAATTTTCCCAGACCCCAGAAATCTTGTAAATAAGTTACAATTCAAACTCTGTTTGACCTTAAATTTATTTTTCTACTAAAACTAATCGTCAGTCGTGGTTGTCTTATGAACATTTAGATAAACCTGAATTCGAAAATATATTACATTCTCTGCAAAGCATAGGAAAAATCCATATATTTTGTTTCTACTGAATGATTTATCAGAACCTCAGGATGTTTATTTAAGAACAACCCTCAGAAGTCGAAACTTGAGCGAGCTAAGGACTAACGAGGTCTTACCTTTTAACGTGTGATTCCTAACAGGGGTTGGACGATAACAAGTGAAAATCGTTCGTTTAGCCTGCTGCTTGAACCATCGACAGGCACATCGACCGATTGACTGAGTGAACAAAGCAACCACGTCGAACCGCCTGGCTACCGATCTAAAAGATCAAAATTGGTCGGAAATATATCATAAAAACCAAGTATACAATGGAATGCTTTCATAAATTCATTTTTCAATATTTCTCATGAATGCTTTTCACAAAAACTATTGAGAGAGATCCAGAGATAGAAGAGTGTAAAAGTAGATTTGATATACTGCTCACTAACTATTTCAGACACCTGAAAAGTGTCTATAATGAAACAAAAAGGGAATGAATTGAAGGGATTATATTTTAAGAAGAGAATAATTCATGAATGAATTGTGTGTATTTTCTATAATGTTATCCAATTTGGTACTGAATAGTCTTAGGGCAAGTGTCTTACGGCGAAACATCGATGTATACCAGTGAGGATGACGGTGGTCTATGTAAGTGCAATTTGTTACCATTCATTTAAAGTAGAACTCATGTGAAGGATATCTGATATTATTCCACAACGAATGTTCGAAATACAAACTGAGTAGAGAAAAGTATCTTCTGTATAATTCAGTGTTCATATAGAAGAATTTGTTTCGAAAGAATTTTTTTCTTTCGTTTAATTCAATGTTTATTTGAAACTAACCATGTATAGAGTTACTTATTTTCAAATTGATTACTTCCTTCCTATCTTTGGAAGATTCCCTCATCTTTTTTTGTATCAAGATGGAGTAGTAGAATGTCATGAAATTTTGAAAAGGAAAAGAAGTGAGTGTTTCCAAGAAAAAATCAGAAATTCTGATAATAAAATAAAGTGCATGTAGAGAATATATAAAGAGATAGTAGGCAGAAATAACACCACAGATTCAATATTTGAAGGAAATCCAACACAAACACCCAATCAGTACGATGAATTTCTGTCGAATGTCATTCCGGAAACACTGGGAAAATAGATAAGACCCAATTTACATGTAATATTTCATATAGTTCACAATCAATGTTTCTTCTACCAGTCCCTGAAAAAGTAATTAAGAATCTAAGAAAGTAATTAAAAAACAAACACACGTGTGGAGTTGACGAAATAACAGCAAGTCTGAAGAAAATATGCATAGATAATATTTCCAAAATAATTTGCTATATAATGAATAACTCGTTCAAATATAGAATTTTTCTTCAACAACTAAAACTACCTCTCATAACACCAATATACACAAAAAAAATTGTGAATTGTTTGAAAATTATAGGCCTATAGTGTCTTGCCATCGTTTTCTAAGCTTTTTGAAATGGTGATGTGTGATAAATTAATTAACTTCATGAAATTTACATTCGACATTAACAAATATATGATTTGTGACGACCGACCACTGATCTATAACTTAGAGTTATAGTTCTGTGCCACCGACATAACCTTATAGGTTATGTCCTCAGCTCTAAGTTATAGTTCTGTGGAGTAATGTCAGTATTTGTGACCCGAACCATAGCCCTGTTGCCAACTAACCTGGGTTTTGCTTGGCTGTTGTGGGTACTACATACTCATATAGATATGATTATACTTTGGAAATGTGACATCTGAATGAAAATTTAAATTTTAAATGATATAAAGAAAATTAGTTAAATGAATTATGTAAAGAACATCGATGTTGACGAACTTGTGAAGTGAATTATCATAATGAATTTTATGTATAGCAAATTTAATAAACTGCTAATGATGTATGTAGATATTTTTAAAGATTCAATCTTCAATATGAACACTAGTGGAGGTAACCTGATAATTTTCTCCGATTTTATGATCATCCATACAAAGAGTAAATTTCACTTAAGTGATTCAAATCTTTTTTTATTAAAGGATATATTTGAATGTGCTAGATGTATCATTTTCAAGAAAAGCCTCTTGGTGTTTTTTTTTGACTTCAAAAATTTAAAAAATTAAGACATGGACGTTGACCATCAGATTCGACGTCACGATTTTTTGAGTGTTACATATTTTCATTGTAAAAATTTCAATTCTTTATTACTGATGACGTGTACAAGTACATTCTTCTGTGCAGTGACGCCGTTTCCAAAAAACTTTTGTGATCCACAGTGGAAAATATATGTAAATATCGACATAACATGTATGTAAAAGTGAAGTGTGAAGTAACTGCCAGTCTATATTGTCAATGTCATATGTCATGTGTATAGGTCTGACACGACAACGACAACGAATGAATTTAAGAATACAATACGTAAATATTACTAAATTAATGTTAAGAGTCTAAAATGACTTCTAAGAATATTTTAGCACTTTTATTATTAGTGTTTCTAGATATTTCATCTGCATTATATTTTCATATTGCCGAAACGGAAAGAAAATGTTTCATAGAAGAAATTCCAGATGAAACCAATGTTATAGGTGAGTACTCCTTTTTGAAGGAATAAAAGAAAAGTATCACAATTCAAAAGTAATGCTTTAAAACTTTTACTCTTGTGTCTGTGCATAGGAAAATATAGCATTAAACAAATTAATGGTTTCTGAGACTTTAATTTAGAGATATGTGTAACTGATTTATTCTAATCTGAAAAAAATGGTCATCTAGTTCACTTGAAATACCGTGGGTATGCCCGGTATGTGTATTTAGTGAATGTATATTTCCCTACCTCATTTATTAAAAAAGTTAATTTCAATGAACAAAACTTTAGACCAATAACTCTCATCTTAATTTTCCAAGTTCATTGCNCCAAAAATATTTCAGGGAAAATATAGAAACGATAAAATTCTTCTTCATGAAAAATATTACTGCAAGTTTTTTTTCTATAATAATTCTGATCAAGTAATGGACAATATGAAAGACAAAAAACAAAAACACATCTGATTAAGATAATATCTTTGTCATGGATTGAAATCTTTCCCCAGCCCATTTTTTGGCAATATCCGTAGAGGCAATCAACAAATTGTTTTGAAAACTTTCCGAATATCTAACGTTGCAATCATTAAACTGTTTCCAAAAGAAATGATATTAAATCAATGTTGAACCTAAGACCTTTTTCATTCTGGATGATCTACACACTAGAAAAAGTTGCTGCTGTTCATTTATATTTGATATTATTTTGCCTTATTTTATATTTAAGGGTGTAAAGTTGATTGTATTTTTTCAGTACTTTTTAGCTATAAAAATATAAATAGCATTTATGTCTCACAATTTAATTTTGTTGGCAAAAATTTACTGTTATTCAGTCAAGTTGGTAAAAAGATGAAGTGAAAGTGGTAAGCTTATTTATTTTTTCAATATGCCCTCTCTTTCAGTGAACTACAAGGTAGAGCTCTATGATCCCAGAAGTGGAGGATTCATGCCATCATCTGCTGGAATTGGTATGCATGTGGAAGTGCGAGATCCTGATGACAAAATTATTTTATCTAGAGTATACAGTGCTGAAGGCAAAATCTCATTTACATCTCATATTCCTGGTGAACATGTTATCTGCATGTATTCCAATAGTACAGCCTGGTTCAGTGGTTCTCAGTTAAGGGTTCACTTAGACATACAAGTAGGAGAACATGCCATCAACTATGGGGAGGTTGTCCAAAAAGAGAAGTTGTCTGAACTCCAATTACGAATCAGACAGCTTCTGGATCAAGTTGAGCAAATCACGAAAGAACAAAATTATCAAAGGGTACGATATCATACATTTTTGGTTCAAAAAGTCTTCATGTATTTGTCTTTATGATGATAATATTTGGGAAAGAAAGGTTTTGGCTTTATATTTCACCATCTTCATACAAAAAAGTGAGAATTATAAAGTAATCACTCCTAATCCTCACCATATTCATAAGTGCTTAGGTCCTATTGATTTTCGTCAAAAATAAATATACATTGAACATTTGATAATTACGTTGTTTCAAAAGTTTTTTTACGAGTCGACTTTAAGCTGTAATATATCAGTGAAGACTTATTCAATAAAATCAAAATATGCGTCATTTGAATCAGTGCACTTTGGCCAATAACACAAGTTTGTTAATTTCATCAGAATAAAAATTGTCTACTAGGACTTCGATGAAGTCTAGTAATAAAAATACATGACAAAACTTTTCAAACAGCCTAATACAAAAGTGTTTCATTCATCAAGTATCTTGATGTTCTGAGTGGTTATTAATGGATATATTTCAAATACAAAAGTGTTTCATTCATTAAGTATCTTGATGTTCTGAGTGGTTATTAATGGATATATTTCAATTCTCTTATCTTCATTATGATCTAATATCACGTAGTAATGGCTTCTTCCATCAATTTATGGATATATTCCCTTTGATTTCTCAATTTTATGTTATTCTGAGTTTTAAAAAAGGGGAATATTTGAAAAATAAGGAACATGTGCAAGTAATCACAATAATTAGGAACAATCATGAAATACACATTAATAGCTGGATTATTCTTCAAAACTCTTGAAATTCCTATGGAAGTTTGAGTTAGAATTCTGGACAGATTTCTGTAATCCAAATTTGTTACAATATTTTCATTTCACAAATTTCATGAAATGTATTTATGAGCAAATGTTCAATTTTGAAAGTAGTTTTCTTATATTTCAAAACCGTAAACTTCCAAGTGCACCTCAAACTAACTTCAAAATGTTTTTATATTAGCATGCCCTCATAATTCAATTCTAAAATTTCCTTGACGATTTCTATTGACACGTCATTTTCACAATCTGGCAAATACGCATGTATATTCATCACGTTTATGATGCATTTAGTATAAAACGATTGGTGGTTAAGTCACAATTTATGTATTATAAAAATTGAATGAATAGATGAATTCAACTTTTCTTATATCAACACTAATATAGTTTGTATTAGAAGCAAAAGAACTCCCGAATCATAATATAATTCACAGTTGGTAGATTCCCACTGCTTGTTTTGAAAATATATGTTGTCTATATTGAAACTGAATACTGATACAGCACCCCAGAAAACACCTCTACCCAAACACTTTTGGAAATAACAATGAGGAAAAATTTCTACTAATGAATATGTTGGCGTGTTCCTCAAATTGTTATATTAAACGGTGAATAGTTGATCCATACAACTGAATGTGGAATACATATTTACGTTTCTTGTTTTGGGGTTTATAATAGGGTTTAATGTTTCAGTTTCACTATTGGTTAAATTTGATAAAGGTAAGTTCTCAACAAGTGACTGAGCAGTTTTCACAAATATTATTTAAGTTTACACAAGGAAAAGGTACTTAGAAGTCACACAGACTATCTGAATCTTTCATAGTTTCTAAAGTTATAATTTCTTTAAAAACAATTATGAGAGGTATCCTGTAAATTATGGAAACCTACCTCATAATAGTTTGATGATACAGTGTTTCTCGAGCTATAAGTATGCGACTGAAAGTTCTTGAAAGAAGTTATTTGCCATGAGACTGGAAACATGTAAATCATGATCAATGCATACTGAACTAAATTAAAATTTTGTTTATGTGTAACACAAAATATGACTTTTAATTTGTTGAACTATATGTCATTTCAAACCTATGAAAGATTTTGTAAACTTTAGCAAATTCTATTGTATTTTTTGGTATATTTGATAATGGTTTTTCTTTTTTCAGTATCGAGAAGAACGGTTCAGACAAACAAGTGAAAGTACAAATTCAAGAGTGCTCTGGTGGTCAGTGACCCAAACAGCAGTTCTTTTGATAATGGGTGCTTGGCAAATGAAACATCTGAAAAGTTTCTTTGAGGCAAAAAAATTAGTTTGAGTGTTGATATTTCATTATTTGTTAATTTTATTTCTGCGTATTTGAAGTTGTACAAAAGTTTTTTTTCAATCCAATCTGGTAAAATATAAATAATAAAATGAAAATTGTTTTTTACACTCTTTCTCTTAATTGCGTTTTATAAAATGTTTAATACTCCAATTTCGTTTTTTTCACACAAGATGTATTAACAACAAAACACTAATTAATTGAACTTATTTATTTTGAATAAACTCTTCTAGCATTACATCTTCAAGTAAAGACACATGCCACACCACCACAGATTTCTTTCTCTATCGCCACAATTGGGAAGATCGTGTTGACCACACTACTAGCGATCTCAGTAGAGAATTTTCCTTCATTCTGCATTCACCACAGTTTACCACATCATGAAGAGAAAGCAGTTGGGCGGCAATTGCCATTATAATTTGGGTAAAGAACTCATTAACTTATTAACAAAAATCAAACTGGCACTACCGAGAAGCATTTTAAACCACATTCATAACCCTTTGTATACATGAATAATGACGAATATTCAAGAAGTAGTGTCAGGTTAATGTTGCTATTATGACTATAAGTATTGTATGCAGAAATGCAGGGTCACACAAGGTGAATAATTTTACTTTATTGAGCATACAGTTTCCAAAATGAGGCAACTACCATCATGAGCTATGAGCTTTGATAGGTGGCTTGCACGTATCCCTAGTAGCTGCTTTGCACATGTATTGGACAGATCTTTTTTGAAACACAAAAATCATGTCGGATGAATCCATTAAGCAAACTCTCCAGAAGGCAATTCCATATCAAATATGGGGATATGTCAGAGCAAAATAGGCTGTAAATTTTAATATAATATATATTTTAGTTTTTATTCGTTTCAGATATTTCAAATCATGTTAGACAATGGAAGTCCGAACTAGTAAAATTAANGTCGACAACAACACTTCATCCAGTGAATCTGGGAGTAGACGATTTCGCGGAGGGTTGTAAACTGAGATTAGTCTATGAAAACCTCTTCTCAGTTGGAGTTCAACTTCTACGGCTTCCGTGTAACTGATCCGGATCAATGCCGAATTGTACGTGAGGAAGATTACGTTTGACAAAAATGCCAACTTCTCCTCCAGCACGTCCAACTCATTCTCTGTGGTAGAAACGGTAATTTGGAATGCCAAAAAGGTTCATTGTGCAGGTGGGTTTCCTGCACAAGTGCGACATCGATGTTCTGCGCAATTAAGAAATTTTCAAAATCGAGTTTTTTATTTGAAATGCTATTGGCATTCCAAAATACAAACCTAAAGAGAACTAGGCAATGTTAGTTGTCTAGCCATTAACAGGTTCCAGTTATCACGCTGGTGTTCATCTTTTCGAGTACAGGGAACTGGATGAACAGTTTCTTCATCTGGTCCAGAGCGGAACAGATGTCACTAACTTTCGACGAACTAGGACTATTGGGCGCTTCAGTCGGCTTGGCGGAGGTGTTACCGCTCTTTGCCGCTCCTGCATAGCTAATCCCAGGGCGCGTGGCAGATGCTCCGGCAGGACGTTTCCCGTGTGTGGATGCATTTTGGGGGGCATTTGCGGCCACCTTGGTCCTCCTGCGAACCTTGGGGAACTCAGGACAACCCCGGTAGTTCGCGGTATGCACCCCCTTGCAGTTGTTGCATTTCGGAGGTTCTGTTTTAGGTTTTTTGCATTCACGTGAAAGGTGTCTGCCAGCGCACTTGACACATATGGGGACGGTTAGGCAGTTTCTCTGGCTATGCCCGAACCGCTGGCATCGATGGCACTGCCCTACTAGTGTCCTCTGATGTTGGGGTTCAACCTTAACTTTTACGTTAAGGCGCTCCCTTTCTTCGTAAATGTGTTTTTGGTTCTGGCTCAGTTGAACCAGAACCAGAGGAAGTGGGCGATTTCCACGCATCATCCTGGAGACGGATGATGGCTGGAAACCCTTCTCCATGTCAGCGATTTCTAGGTGTTCTGGAACTCCTCTGAAGACAGCTCTGATTTGCCTGTCTTCAGGTAGGGTGTACGTGTGGTAAGGGATTTTTCCCCCACCAGGAGTTTGGACATTTTCCTATAGTCCTCGATAGTGGAAGGCTGGACCTTGATGCCGTCGGCCAGGTTCACCGCCTTTGTGTAGCTAATCTTATGGAGAGTAGCCAGCTTCGTAAATTTGACCCACTTGTCCTTCTGACGAACGACAATTGGGGGGACTCGTGATTTCTTGACGTTTTGGGGCGCCTCAGAACGCGGAGGGATGGGGGAGACATTTCCCTGAGTGTTTTGGTTTCCAACCTGATCATGATTTTGTTGTGGCTGTCTAGGGCCACCCTGTATAGTCGATACTGAAATGTCTGATTTGTTTTCATTTTCGTCGACAGACATCTCACTTTCTCCGTCTATGGAAGATTCTGTAGTCGAAAGTTCCGACTCGGAAGCGCTATTCCTGGCTTCGTCTCGAAGTTTTGTCTTTTTGACTACCCTTTTGGGCTTCGTGTCGGTATTTTTGTTAGTCGGAGCAGCTGGTTTGGTAGGGAGAGGAGGAAACTCCTCTGGAAGTCGTCGTTTTTTGTTAGTCAGTTCTTGCGGCTTGTTTATATCTACCTGTATTGAAACTGGTTGTACAGAGAGAGTGGCACTGTCAGAAGTATCTTTGGGGGATACTTTCCGTCCATGTAAATGTCAGTATCTGCTGGGGTGTCGACCTGCACGTCGTCTTGATTTCAATCAGGTTGGAGGCTGGGGTGTCGATGTGTGATCGGTGGTATTTATATCGACGGAAGTTACTGAAGTGGAAAGGTGGGGGCGGGGCTTCGGGTGATTACCATCTTAGACAAGGAAAGATATCTTTTACCTAATCTAAGATTACCATCACCGGACGTCTTGAAGGGGGGTGAGCATCGGGAAATTAAGGGGTTTCCAGGCAGTTGGAAGTCTCTGACCGTCATCACGTTTGTTCAGGCAGAAAGGTAGCTTTTCGATTGAATCGCGAATTATCTGAGCTTGTAGTGTTTTCGCTGTGGCGATGGTTTCAGTGTTGGCAAAGTCTATGTTGTGGTCTGTCTTTTGATGACAGGGTTGAGGATGGGTCTGATTTTCGGACAGCAAGTTGATGTTCATATACCCTACTCGTCACACGTCAGTTAGTCTGGCCTACATATGTTCTATCGCAATCGGAGCTTGGAATTTCATATATACCCTAGGATTCATTGAAAATTTGTCCTTGGGAGAACGGAGGAATGTGGAAATTTGAAGTACTCTCTGTATTACTAAGTATTTGTTCTGTGAACATCTCCTCTTCTTCACAATTTTCAAAAATAGGATTCAAATCGACATCTACAAGGTGTTTCAAATTCGATCCCCACCATTGAGATCTCGGAAACTATGAGAGATACGAAGATGTTTGAATTGGGGCATAGTCGCGCATTTACCTGACTAACAATATGCCGTTGAGAAATATCTGAAATGCCGAGTATACCCGGAGATATCCGGAAAAAGAAATGAAGTGGTTGAAAATGGTTTTTATTTTTCTCTGGCTTTATTTTTTGAAGGATTCGAAAATAAATTGCACTTCCACTTTGCCATTTTTTCCTTGCTACATAATGGTTTTTTCAGATTTGCTATTCGACGTTTCGTCTTCCGGCCACCACCATCAACTTTATTTATTCTCATGGGCGCTACAATGGATTATTTATGTTTTGAATACAACCAAATTTTACCTTTTCAATTATGTAAGTTACGTATGCGATATACGAAAATACTTTTTTAAAAAGACTTTATTTTGGACAAATACAACGTTACAGTTCAGGCGAAGTAACAAGAATGCGTGATTATTAAATTAACAAAAGAGCTCCCGACCCATGGAAGATGAGAAGAGAGCCGTGTCATCGGCGTATAGAGATATCTTCACACGCTCGGGCCTCGGAAGGTCACTGGTGTAAAATGAGTACAACGTCGAAGAGAGCACACCCCTCTGTGGCACTCCAGCAAGGATCTCTCTCTTATCAGACAAAAATCCCTCTACTCTAACCGGAAATGTCCTGTCTTTCAGGAAAGACCCAATCCACCGGATGAGGCCCCGAGGCAGGTCGAACGCATTTAATTTATGCAGATGACCTTCGTGCCAAACACGGCACGGTACTTTTTTGTTGGAATTAAGCTCTTTGATGGTGTTTTCGACCAGCCTTAGAGCCTGTAACTCAGTGGTGACTTCTGTTGACTTAGACAAAATGTGAAAAACCAAGAAAAGTACTTGATAAAAATAACTGCGTGAACGCAACCGAAACTTATGTGGTGTCCCACCAATAGGTGGGACACCACTGGCAAGGGAGCCAGGCTCCAACCTGTTTGAAATCAAGACGATGTGCAGATCACATTTTGTCACACGACGACATCCATCCAGCTTCTGTGGAAGAGCTGAAGAGATACATCAGGGCCGCAAAGGCCAAGAAAGCAACGATGCCCAATAGGCTGAAACAGCTGTCTACCGGTGGCTCTTAAATTGAAATCAATATGGGAATGATCAAAAAAGTACTTATCTATTTATCTTTTGATTCTCGTGTTAATGTAAGTTACAAAAAGGATTTGAAGCTCTATGACTTCTATTTGATTATCTGCAAGCACTTTCGACAGCTGGTCATGCTGTCATCTTCTATGCACTCTTCTATCTGAACGTGTAATCCTGTTGTGTGTCTTTTTATTCAGTATGAACGCCTCAATACAGGTACTTCTGTTGCTTTAGGTAAATTTTCCTGTATGTGGATTACATCAGGTACTATTCTTTGTGTTAAATCTTCTCCAGGTTCTTTGCTTCTAGGATTGTATATAGATTTGTTTAATATACTGAATGTTAGGTCCTGTTGTGTTTTGATTTGTACTTGTTCCTCAATAAGTGATTTTTGACTGTTAAATTTATGGATGTTTAAGTTTTCCCAAAACACAGAGACAGTATTTTGTTTTGGCATGGGAAAAAAGTTTTTAATAAATATGAATAAAGTTTTTATAAAAGTGGTTTCTTTCATAAAATTACTACTCATGATAACAATATAATGAATGATTTTATTCATTATTTTTTATAAGTACAACAAAAATATCAATTTATTCATTGGTATAAAAATCTGCACTTCTCAACTAGAGAAAGAATTTCATATGAGTCATTAATTTCAATAGGAAATCTCTATTTGTTACATCACTATCGTCATGAATCATAACCGCCCTTAGGGGATGTTACTGGAGATGGAGGTGGTGGAAGAGGGCTGAAATAAGTTGAAGATCTTGAACTCGGAGAGGGAGGACAACTCTCTTGGTTACATTGAGATCTTGGTGTTGGTGGGGGCGGCATTGGCCCTCCATCATATCGAATTTGAGTGGGATAGTTGGTGTCACTCTCATCACATATATCAGTCGAGCAAGGAGTTGGTGGTGGCGGTTGATTAATGGAACGATAATGGCGATATGGTCGGTAACGGGAAGATGGGCTGCTGCTACCTCTAGTTGAAGCAGCTGTTGTTACTGGACTTGGAGGCGGGTTTAGCGTCTCACGAGGGTAACCTATTGTACTAGAACCATTAGTGTTTGAACTACTGGAGGCGCCAGTAACGTGCCTGCGATCGAATGTAGAAGGGCACCCACTATCATTATTCAACATTGACATTCGCACTACATCAGGTATCCCTAAAAAATAAAGTTGTCCATTAAAACATGTGTTCAATGGAAGATGTAACTTTCAATCACAACATTTTTTTTAATGAATTACAGAATTTTGAAGTGTATTTTCACAGTTCCTATAATAAAAAAAAAACCAATACCAAACAGAGAAAAATTTACAAATGATTATAATTTGACATTTAATTTTGGGTTGAAATGATAAAGTGGATGTGCTGGTTTAGGCAACTCAAATAGATAATATGCGCATATCTTACAATGGGCGGCATATAATTTTGTATATTTGAGGGATAATTTTGATATTTATTCCCAAGTATTTTGCTGACGGGTTGCTCCTTAGTATTTGATTGCTGATAGTGACTTATTGGAGCTGGTTTGTGATAAAAAATTATAAACTGATTTTTCTGGGTTCGTCCTAAGAAGCCATCTGTTGAACCCAAGGGCGATCTTGTTGACGAGGTTTTGTAGGTGGGTTATTGTGAGAGTAAGAATTTTGCTGTGTGATATCTAAGCTGTATCGTACATATACTGCATAACATAAAAAATTTGTTGATTCCATTTTTGAATATTATGACAATGAATAGTGTAGAGAAGTGGTGAAAGTGAAGAACTCTGAGGAACACCTTGTAGACAGAATTTTTTTGAAAATGAATGTCCTTCTCTTATGGTAAAAAAACTGCTTTTGAAGTAGTTTTTTATGATATATAGTAAGTTAACGGGGATGTCAAACACTCAAATGTTATATTTTCGTCTAAAAATACCGTTGTGGAATAAAGGTTCAAATGTTTTGCTGTTTGTATGGATATTGATACGATGATTATATGGAAACATGCGCCAAACTAAGTGACTATTATAAGACAAGTATAGCTGAGGCGTCAGTTAATCTAATAATAACACTGATGATCTTCAAACATGACTCAACCTCTGACGGAAGCATCAAACTCTTACGAAGGTTCAAAATAGATGAACACTTCAATCTAAAAGACCACCATTATAATCTTCATGCAGTCATTGTTCACTGTGGTTCTGGCGTTGAATCTGGTCATTATTACGTATTGGTCAAAGACGAAACGGACTGGTTTCAGTTTGACGATAGTCGTGTCACTAAATATTCTAGCGATATCTAGCTTCTGGAGACACCCTACATTTTATTTTATGAAAGAGAGGACATTGGCCGATCAAGATTTCCAGATGATGTGGTGCTGCAGGTTTTTCCGGGTTTTTCTGCAGCTGAAAAAGCAAATGCGCCACTGGAATCAATCAAGTCGCTAAGGAGCGGCTATTAATTTTTGTTGTTGTTGTTTCATTTGTATTACTTTCTTCTTTAATAATTCCAATATGTTTACTTTATAATATATTCGGAGTTTTTACCTAATTCAGGTAATATAGTAAGAGGTCTATAATTGACGGTTAATGAGTGATATTATCATGCCTACTTTCCATACGGCTGGGAAGTAGTGATTGTTCAAGTAGTATTGGTTTATTTTTATTATATGATTATGTATGTCCGAATCCAGAGGTCTTATTATTCTTTTTGAAATATTGTCCATTCCTATTTTACTAGTTGATTAATGTTTCGTAGAGTTCTGAAAGTGTTTTCAAAGTGATCTGCAAATGCTTCTGCCTTGTCTTCATCTGGTGAAAGAATCTGTCCATTGTTGGGTGTTGTTGGATGTTTTGTATTTGGCTAATTTCTTGATTTGGAGCCAGTATTCACACTTCTGCAAATTTTTTTCTTCGCAATATTTCAACCATTTATGTTCCCTAAATTGCATAATTAGATTGTGAATATTTTTGTTGTATTTGGTTAACTCACTTTATAGTAGTGGTTTATGGGACATTTTGTATTCTCTGAACATTTTTCTTTAGTTTTTATTAATTTAATAATAAATGGTGGTAGTTTGTGAAGATAATGTTTAGTTTAGATTTGGGTGAATGTTGCTGTAGTGATCCTGATATGTTCTGGATCAATGTTAGGGTAGACTCAAATAAATTCCATCAAGTTTTATAGACTTTTTCTATGTTGCATCTGTAATAATAAATTTTGTATTCACCTGATGCTGTAATGGCCGTATTCAGGTCTGGGACTAATTCCGAAGCTAGATGATATAATCCGAGGTCTGTATGTGTTTCTATATTGGTTATATTATTTTCCAAATTGCTTGTATACAGCATACGATCTGGACTACTATCAGGATTATTTTCCATCAAAAACGTGGGGGAATATACATACATGTTTAAAGCTGTTGTCTTCTGCGCATGCCATAACAGAAACTTCAGGGAAATTTTGAAAGATTTTTTTGTGAGAGAGCGTGTTATAATTTATAAGAGTACTATGCTATGTAAATAAAAACTGTTTCTGTTATCTTTTTCCGTCCTATTTTGTTGTATATACATACATTCAATATCTACTGAAAAATGTTATTCAACACACTTGTAATGTATATTTATTTATAGTGTATAGTTTTATCTAAGTAGCGATAGCTAATATGTGTAATTTTGTTTGTTTGTTTTTTTTAAATTTTTTTAACCAAGCTTAGTCAATAAGATATGAATCTACAGATAATAAAGCATTTTTTGCATTTGACTGATTATAAGGTTTATGAAATAGAATCCTGGCTACCACTTAATCACAATCAATTAGGATGGAAGAAATTAATCAACTAAATGAGAAATTTTCAATAGATAGTTATGAAAATCGTTTTCATCCCTCAGAATAGAACTAACCATAGAGTCAAATACTTTTGATATTACAGGAGTAGTAATTGGTATGTAATTATTATTTTTTTATTTCATAACAATAAGAATAAGCATCTCAAAAACAATTCGAAATTTTCAAAAACTCACCTTTCTGATATTTTGCAATGTCAGAGTTGGCATACATAGGATTTAAACAATCCTGTGAATGATCGGCATTAGTCTCTTCTTGGAGCAAACATCTTTTCCTTAAAAATAAAAGAAAAACCAAAGCGAAAACAGTAACAACTCCTGTGACCGAAAATATAACAGTATGTGCAACTGACTGGCTCGAACTTGCAAATATTTTACAGTCTTTTTCATCAGAACCGTCAGCACAATTTTCATTTCCATCACAGACAAGTGTTAAAGGTAAACACACCTCTGTCTGAGGACACTGAAATCCATTTTCACAACAATTTTTCTCATCAGATTCGTCTATACAATGAATAATATTATCACAGTAGTTTTCTTTGTTGATGCATTGTCCATCTTGACAACGAAATTGATTAGGTAAACATTTTGGGCAATCTAACTCATCAGATCCATCTGCGCAATCTTTTTGCCGATCACACTTCCAAGCAATAGGTATACACTCTCTTGCCACATTACAAGTAAAACGATCATTACCACAATCTGGTGGTATCTGACAATTTCTTTTATCTTTTTGCAATGTTTTTCCGTGAGGGCATGCACAAGTGTATGAAGTTCCATTGTGCAAACAGAAATGGGAGCACTTCTGTTGATGGCTAATATTGCAAATATTATCGAGGGGATTTTGCACAGAAATCAGATCAATGATGTGGGATGCATGTATTGGAAGAGTTGATCGTGACTTCCCCGAGAGAATTTCTAATCTTTGAAGCTGATCCAGTTCTTTATCTATCCAATAGAGCCACCCCAGGTGGACTGCAAGCTGGATAATTTTGGAATTACTCTCGTTCAGTAAAACATGCCTGGAACAAAAATGAATTACTTAACCAACTTGAGGAGGAATAGGAAAGTACTAGTATATTAATTGTCGAGTCACACTAACCAAATAATGTTAATAATAATAAAGATAAAGCATTTAAACCTGAATAGACTGCGAGTACATCTACAATAATACTAACCAGGTCTAAAACAAGTTAAAAATATGATACCAAACAAAAAGTCTAGGTTGAGATCATCAAAAGCCTCCGACATATTATTACCACTTTCTGGTTGGCAAGAGCCTTGGGGAAGTCGTCTGTCATTGAAGAAGATACAGAGACAATATTATGACATTTATGAAGAAGCCTGGGTGATTCAAAAGTAGAATATCATCAGCTAGTAACAGAGAGTGAGGCTTTTTGAGTGACTTTGAGAATTATCGATGTTGTGACTTATAGACTATTTACTTTTGTAGAACGCTGATGTCTTCCGATGCTGTAGAAAAGTCTTTTTCAAATGATGAAATAATTATGTGTGAGAGAAAGAAGGCAAGACTCAATCAAGAGTTGGAGCACTTCACCAGAGATGTTGTCAGGCCCTTCAGTATGGGGGGTTTCTGTTAGAGAATTAGTTGTTTTACCAAATCTGGGAAAACCCAAAAAAACTATATTATAGTTTGTGTTCTTGCAAGTAGATCAGAAGCCCACCACCAATGCCAGATGTGTGATCTCTTCAAACCAGTTTATAATCAGGTACGTAGTAAAGATCATCAGGGAGATCCTCTTTGACCAAGATCTCGGTTATAACTACTACTGGGAAAGTGATTCGCAAGACACAGTCCTTCACATTGGGGAACTTGTTATTCAGTGAAGGTATTTTCATTTGGCATGCTACAAAAGTTGTCTCTTTACTGGTCAGAAGTTTGAAAGGTAATTGAATAGATTTCTGGTTATGTTTGATAGGTAGAACTGGAACCTCTGGCATGAAAATAATCTATTGAAAACACTTTTCCCATACCAGAACAAAAATAATATCTGAGAGTATTTTTGTTCAAGCATGATATTTTCCAATTTTTACAGAAAAGTCATCAGCATTGGCTATGTGATGAATTCTGGCAATGAGGGAATCTATATTTTTAAATACATATAAGACGAACAGAATTGGGCCAATAATGGACACTTGGGGCCACACGTGAGCTTCACGTCATAGATTTTATTCTAGGGATTTCCTTATTTATAGTAACCGGAAGAGATAGGTACATACATTCAAAAAATGAGGATACCCAGCTGAGAGAGATACCTTTCAATTCATACCTTTCCATTTTTGTCAAAAATTCGAAAAACGAACTCAAATCATTTAAAATTGCTGCCGGAGACTCGACCGCCTCAATATATCTGATTACCTCATTGTATAATAAAAATGACAGTGTTTACTGACTTTTCTACGCCAACTACATACTGCATGTTAGACAATACTTTATATAGACCCAGAGTTAATCTAGTATTGAAAACAGCGGGAGAGGATGAAGAAATGAACATGCTTGGTGATGGATTTAAAAAACAAATATGACAAACTGAATATATTGTTTTATTTTTCACTAAAAAAGAATTATTCACTTTTACCTATAATAATTCAACTGCTTTTGTCAGATTTACCATTTTAATCTTTTAAATTTCGGTCATTAACAAATAAAGTTTTACTTACTGATTTTCTCCGTCAATATTACTAATATAAATACTGTGGCCTTGAGCCCATACAACTACATCATTTTCCGTGTCAACAGCTATGGCAGTTATATTATCAGCTTTAGCTATTACTATTCGGTGAGAGCCATCCATTCTTGTTCGAATTAATTGAGGTGTTTTGCCAACATCAGTGTAAAACAGTAACCTGAAAAAAGTTGAAATAAATAATGAGTAAAATTTTCTATTTGATAATGAAACCTTTTATCCACATGCAAGGCAAGGAGACGGGGTTTTTCTCCTTCCTTCCTCTTCAAAATGCCAAATTCATTTGAATTATCCAATCGCGTTATATTTATAACATCATTCAAGGAACAAGTCCAAAACAATAACCTTCCGATAGTGTCCACTGCTAAATCATAGGGTAAATAATCTTTATGACTTGGTACAATTATATTATCGAATTTTTGTCTGCTAGATTCTGATGTTTGTTCAGTAGCCTCAGATTTTCTTATAGAATGGAATTTCCCCTCGATCTATGAAAAAAATATACTTTAATCAATATGTCTATTTGACTTTTTTATCAATAAAATATAAGGTGTATTCAAAAATTTGAAGTACTTACTAGAGATGGAACAGAGAGCAGTTTAGACGGATAAATTATATTCGGCCAACCTTGCAGCCGGATATATTAGGTCGCCGAAAAACCGCGAAACGTTGCCATTTGGTGCGCGTAGGTGGCGCGCGAAAGATAAGGTGGTGCAATTTGGATCTTTTCGTTGAAGAGTTAAGTTAAAAACAGTGTCATTCATTGACTTATTGTATTGATTGCAGTGAATCTATCTAGCAGCAGCGTATACAGCGACTTTTTTCTGAAGCTGGTCTTAGTGCAATATAAGTACTAATTCATTTTATAAGTTGTAGAATTATTGTGTGATTACTGATTGTATTTCTTAAGTGATACTAACCAAATAAAGCAAAAAATACCTAAAAATATATTTTTTTTAAATCCGGTATTCGGCCGGATAGGCGCATGTTATCCGGTATTTGGCCGGGCAGTATTTAGGCCGCCGGATATCTGTTTCATCTTTAGTATATACCTTTAGTGAACCAAAATGATAAAAACATGAGTGTGTCGGTAAGAGTAATAACAATAACGTAATGTTGCTAATTACCCAGTAAATGAAATCAGATTTTGGATCATAATCAATTGCTTTCAGAGCCTTCAACCCCTGAATTGGTAGGACAGCCTCCGGACAGTCTGATGTGTCAGGAACTAGTCTCACCACTAGACTTCTCGAGCTATAAATCATAAACCTGTCTGGAGCTGAAAAAAAATTAATATTACTTCTGGAAAACTCAAAATGTGAAGATATTACTTTTAAGTAGAAATTTGATATGTTATTGTATGTTAAAATTGTCTAGGCTTCTACATCAAGTGATAAGATCTACCAAGTTTTACCTGTTTAATATCGTAGGAAACATGTCAATGATAGATAGATGCAAATAGATAGATTTTTATTTTATCACGTTATGAATAAACATTGTATCGAGTCACAATCAGTTGGTATAAACTAGTGTGCAAATAAAGTAAACAATATAAAAACATCAACATTAAAACTAACTAATAAACCTCATTGTATAATGTTCACAATAAAGAGTTTTACAAATCATAAAACGCTTGAGAAAGCTATTGTATAGCGAAACACATGTCGCAGTTTTTGTAAAACCCTTTATAGTGAAAATCATACAATAAAGTGTATTACTTAGTTTTAATATGGATTTTTGCAAGTAAACCTGAGATATGAGAATTTGATTATAACATTGTGTTGCCGTTGGCATGACAGGTTACTGTGCTAGAGAAAAAAATATTAAGTGGAGAATTCATTCAAAATTTTTACTTACGTTCACAATCGTTGCCATTTAATGTGTAATGATTTGGACAAGCACAAGTGTATCCTACATGATTTCCCATATTTTTAGGTAATGCTAAACACAAATGTGAACAACCACCATTGCTGGTGGCACACTGGTTAGTGTTTTTCGGTTTATGGTAATGAGGGTTCCAAGTGAGCATACGGTCTATGAGGTACTTTACCCGCGCTTGCCAGTCAATCTCCCTTCCAGAGATTCTCACTTTTCTGGCCGGAAAAGATTTCAGTCTTCCCATGGTTATCGCCTGAGTCTTTACCGGGATCACTCGGATCTTCCAATCAAGGTACCAGCGCTCGAGGTCGTCCAATGCACGTTGCATGTAGACGACGCCGAGCTCCCGACCCATGGAAGATGAGAAGAGAGCCGTGTCATCGGCGTACAGAGATATCTTCACACGCTCGGGCCTCGGAAGGTCACTGGTGTAAAGTGAGTACAACGTCGAAGAGAGCACGCCCCTCTGTGGCACTCCAGCAAGGATCTCTCTGTTATCAGACAGAAATCCCTCTACTCTAATCTGAAATGTCCTGTTTTTCAGGAAAGACCCAATCCACCGGATGAGGCCCCGAGGCAGGTCGAACGCGTTTAATTTATGCAGAAGACCTTCGTGCCAAACACGGTCGAAGGCCTTCGAGATGTCAAGTAGCACAATGTGTACTTTTTTGTTGGAATTAAGCTCTTTGATGGTGTTTTCGACCAGCCTTAGAGCCTGTAACTCAGTGGTGACTTCTGTCGACTTAGACAAAATGTGAAAAACCAAGAAAAGTACTTGATAAAAATAACTGCGTGAACGCAAGCGAAACTTATGTGGTGTCCCACCAATAGGTGGGACACCACTGGCAAGGGAGCCAGGCTCCAACCTGTTTGAAACCAAGACGATGTGCAGGTCACATTTTGTCACACGACGACATCCATCCAACTTCTGTGGAAGAGCTGAAGAGATACATCAGGGCCGCAAAGGCCAAGAAAGCTCCGGGGGTCGACTCAATAACTAACAAGTTATTGAAGAGGCTCCCGGAAAACTGCGTCGAATGTCTGTTGAACATTATAAACAGTTCGTTGGCACTCAGACACTTCCCCAGAAGGTGGAAGCATGCGATCGTCGTTATGATCCCAAAACAGGGTCAGAACCCGCTGTTCCCACAGAACTATCGCCCGATCAGTCTACTCTCGTCGGCGGGTAAGCTGGCTGAAAGAGTTGAGGACCGAAATGTTCTGCCTGATGAACAATTTGGCTTCAGGAGAGAACACTCCACTGAGTTGCAGGCTCTAAGGCTGGTCGAAAACACTAGACATCTCGAAGATCTTCGACCGTGTTTCGCACGAAGGCCTTCTGCACAAATTGAACGCGTTCGACCTGCCTCGGGGCCTGATCCGGTGGATTGGTCTTTCCTGAAAGACAGAACTTTTCAGGTTAGAGTAGAGTGCTGTCTGTCTGATAACAGAGAGATCCTCGCTGGAGTGCCACAGGGGGCTGTGCTCTCTCCGACGCTGTATTCTCTTTACACCAGTGACCTCCCAAGCCCCGAGCGTGTGAATATATCCCTGTACGCCGATAACACGGCTCTTCTCTCATCTTCCATAGGTCGGGAGCTCGGCGTCGTCTACATGCAACGTGCATTGGACGACCTCGAGCGCTGGTACCTCGATTGGAAGATCCGAGTAAACTCGGGCAAGACTCATGCGATAGCCATGGGAAGATTCCCATCTTCTCCGGCCAGAAAAGTGAGAATCTCTGGAAGGGAGATTGACTGGCAAGCGCGGGTAAAGTACCTCGGCCTTCTAATAGACCGTAGGCTCTCTTGGAACCCGCACATCATGTACGTTAAATCTAGGATCGAGGGTCGGATTGCAATTCTGTACCCTCTGATCAACAGAAAGTCAAAAATGAGCTTGCAAAACAAGATTACCATCTACAACATGATGTTCAAGCATATCATCATGTATGCGTCTGGGGTCAAGCGGCCAAATATAATATCTCCATTCTGGAGGTATTGCAAAATATTAACAAACATTAACAAACAAAATTAATAAACTGGAAGTTCTTTTATCGGAAGAGGATCCAGACGTCATTAGTATTGTTGAGCACTGGTGTGATACTGAGAATATTGAATTTATATCCATACCTGGCTATAGTCTGATATCTAAATTTTGTCGTATTACTCATATACATGGGGGAACTGCCATCTTTGTTAAATCATCATTTCTAGCTCAGTGTCTTGATTTAAAACAGTTCTCAGAGGAGATTCATTGTGAAAGCAGTGGGATAAAACTAACTGTACAAGGTAAAAAGATTTGTATATTAAGCATTTATAGATCTCCTAATGGTAACTTGGATAAAAATGAACCCTTCATTGTAAAAGAGCTTAAGACTGTACAAGGTGCCCGATCCAAAGAATTTATGGTAGCAGCTAACTTTAAGTATAGAAATAATTTTTATGATCCTAAATTCTGGCTACAAGGTGTTATGTTTAAGAGATTTGATTTTAAATATTATTATGAAAAATATCAAATTAGAGATGTTCTCAAAGGAGAGGTGGAGGATAGACCTAATTCTTTTTTAGACAGGCGGTAGGACAGGAAAATCAAGTAAAAAAGGTTGTGTCAGAACTAACGTCAAATAACAGAGAAAACATTTTAAAAACTTTTAATCTCATGCATTTCAATATTCATGGTCTGAATGGTAAAACAGATGAGTTGGAAATATTATTGAATATAAACAAAAACTGACATTGTTTGTATCAGTGAACACTGGTTGAAAATGTATGAAATAACATAATAAACTCATTTTGTCGGAAAGAATATAATCATGGTGGTGTGTGTATTTTCCTAAAAAAATCATCTGTCTTGCCGGGAAACCGGTGATGTACAATAACAGCATTGAGAAACACTTTGAAGCAACTGTAGTTATGATAGAGAATCAACTTGGAATAGGAAAATTATTTGTAGTGACGGTGTATAGAACACCTGACAGCAATCTCAATATATTTATATAAAGCATGTATGGTCTGATGAACCTTATCTATGATAAAACAAATCGTTAATCGATAACGGACTATCAGTTGATATAAAAAAGACATTTTTCATGTTATTCCAGCCAAAGAATATTCGTTATGATTATAGTCCATTAATAAGGATGAATCATAAGTCTGTAGAACAAGTTGATCACATTAAATTTCTTGGAATTTATGTGCATCATAAGCTTACATGGGAAATTCATATAAACAATTTAGTATACAAATTGAGCAGTATTTGCTTTGTTATTCGACAACTGCAAGGGACTGTCTCTTTGAATATTCTTAAACTAACATACCATGAACTTGCTAATTCCTTATTAAGCTATGGCCTGATATTCTGGGATAACTCTGCTCACGTACATAAAGTATTCATTATACAGAAAAAAATTATAAAACGTATGGTCAAAGCTCATTATCAGGCGAGCTGTAGACAAATATTTAAGACTGTCCATTCTGACCTTGCCTTGTATGTTTATATATTTAATAACCAGCAACATCAAAAAAGAAAAACATAGTCATGTGAGAGGAAATACTCTACATGAGTATACCACTCGCAATGCAAGTAAAATACGTCCACCGTTTTCCCGTCTAGGCCTAGCACAAAACTATTTCACATATCTGGGTATCAAGTGTTATAACCAATGCGTAAAATTAATTGGTGAAATAAAAATGTTTTGAGTTTTCAAAGCAACATTCCATGACTTTTTAATTAATCATGCGTTTTATTCTGTAGATAAGTTTTTAAATTTTCCTATCGATAATTCTGATATGTAAATCTATTTACCATTCATTTATGTTATGTGTTTGTTCATGTTATATGTAATTGACTAGTCTGATAAGTTTTATTACTGTGCTGCAATGTGTAAAGCTTCATGGATGAATAAAAATTATCTATCTATCTATCTACCCTTTTATGGTCTTCTTGATGTCCTTGACAGAAGAGAAGTAGATCTTCAAGCATATGCAGAAGATTTCATCATCCTAGCAAGGACCATGCTGAGAAGGGTAGTTCCTTTTCAATTCGAAGAAGAATCTGAATGATTCAACTCCACTTTTCTTCAATGGCGAGTTTATTCCATTTGCAATGGAAATGAAATATCTAGGAACTATCCTCGATTGAAAACTCACCTGGAACGCTTACATTGAAGGCAGAAATTCACTCTATTGATTTGTGTGTGAAGAGATTGGCAGGTAGATAAGTCAATAAAAATATTCTCGGAGAGACAAGCCGCCATCTGAATTGGTGGTGAACTGTTGAAAATCCTCATTAGGAAGACTGAATTTCTGGCCACACTGGCCTGGAAGTTAACAAGGCTAGTGACACCCTTGCAAGGGAGAGCGTTACAAACGATTTCATCGGATTGAAACTTTTCGTTGGCATCGTTTTAAGCTTTGCCAAACACACACTCAACATCCAAACTGCAAGAAGTTTCAGACTTCCTGCCAAATCTACCATGATCGGTCCATTCCAAACAATTGATAGACCTCAGTGGGGGGTTGACCAAGTTTTTTAAAAGGCTTACTTACTGTCATCTGAACCATCATTTGCAGAAACTTGGACTATCGAAAGATAGTGCATGTCACCCTTGTTTGAAATATGATATAACAATATCACTCTTGTCATCTGACCTGGAAGATCGCTCACCATATAAGCGAATCGGCTTTGTCAAGAAACTAAAGTCTATCCAAATCCAAGATAGAGTAAAAGAAAACAAAACCGAAGCGTGATGTTCACGTGATCGCCCAGTGTCAGATGGAAAGGGCAGCGTTCATTGGTGAATTCGCCTTCTTGGTACGAGTCCGGTACCAGCACAGGGTTGTAATCAGTCGTTTGCGTGTTTGTGTGGCGTGCGTTATAGTATATTGTTTAAAATTGTTTTCCAAGATGTCCAGTACAGACACTGCTGATGACACTGTGAGCTATCCTCGAGTCCAGCCAGGAAACGATTCAAAAAAAGACATTTGAGTGTTGAGATGAAAGAAGTGATTTTAAACGTGTTCAAGAAAGAGATGGAGGAAATTGAGACATCGACTGTCGACGAAGTCGTATCGAAAGTTTCCGATAAAATTGGAGTGTGTTGCGCTTCGATTTACAATGTTTTACGGGAATATAAACAAAATCATACATTTTCCAAACCGAATACAAATCAGAATCGTCAAACCATTATAAAATCGATAGATGATGCTGATAAACATGCAATCAGGAGGAAAGTGCATGAGTATTTTTTCAGAAATGAAATACCCACGATAGACAAAGTACTCACAGAAATAAATGAAGATGTTTTATTGCCAAGTTTTAAGCGGTCAACATTCCATAAAGTATTGAAACATTTGAATTTTGTATGGAAAAAACGAGGGCGCAATAGTTTATTATTGGATAGAGAGGAAATTGTGTTATGGAGGAGAGAGTGTTTGACCAAAATTAAATATTATAGGGAACAACAGAGAACAATTTATTATATGAATGAAAACTGGGTTAATGCTGGTCATACTACCCCTAAAGCATGGGTCGATGAAACTGTGACCTCATCTAGGAGGGCCTTTCTAGATGGACTATCCACCAGATTAACAAATCCATCAGATAAGCTTATATTTATATTAAGACCTGCCTCAATCTCAATATATAAAAAGTAACCCTCGTATTTGTTTTATTTACTTACATACCTCTTCATAATTTCAGGCTTATTATTTGTCACATCGGCAATGAGAATGGGTTTGTTGCTGAAGGGCTGTGGTGTCTCGAGTCGAAGAAAACTGGAGATTATCACGAAGAAATGAACGGTGAATCTTTCGAACAGTGGTTTTCCAAAGTTCTACCCCATCTGGAGGATAATCCAACGTCTTCAAAGAAGGTTGAAATCCAAAATTGGCAGCGATCAAAGAATATTAGCTTTGAAGACTCAATTCTAAGAGTACAGCTACTAAAAACTGTCAAGGAGCGCAAGCTTGAATACCAAAAATATATAGTTGATGAGATGGCTGCAGACCAAAACAAAATTTTCCTTCGCCTGCCTCCATACCACTGCGAGCTCAATCCCATCGAGTTAATATGGGCGGATGTGAAGAATTTTGTAGCTCAGCATAACACCACGTTCAAATTTGCAGATCTCAAAGTACTTTTTGATGAGGCTTTGAAAAGAGTCACAGCGGAGAAATGAGAGAAGTGTGTTCGGCATGTGATATCGGAAGTCGAGACAAAGATGTGGAAGCTTGATAACATAATAGAGGCACAAATCGAGCCACTGATAATTTAGATTGGTGAGGATGGCACTACTGATGAAGAGACAAATTCATCCAGTTGAATAATTTTGATTAATATTCCTTTTGATTTTACATAAAATAAAAATTATCAATAAAGAAATAATTACGTCTCTTTTCATATAATGCTTGAGTGTGCTGTGAAAAATCCAATGAAAATCTTTTTATATTACACATATTATCTGCATTTTTCCCGTTAAACTGCAAAACTTGTGCATTTCACTCGTTATTATAAAAAAGTTTTCCTAAGTATGATATAGCATTTGCGATCAACAAGATGTTGGTTCTGAATACGACCCTGGCCAATTCTTGGGATTTACAATATCACGTACGTAGGGCATGTCAATGTTTACATCCACTCTATCTTGGATTTGAATTTGCTTTAGACCAGTCAAGTCTGAATAGGTGTGCAGTGAAGGATTGAATAAACCCACTCACTTTGGACCTAACCTAACCTCTAGGATATATTATGTGATGGCATTGGCCTATACTTAATGAAAATTCATGATTTATTAAAGAGTACATAATTTTTTTGGGATTAGTTTTTTTGGAAAAAAGTTTTTGGTTTTCTACTTTCCCATCTTTATACAATTTTTCACAATTTTTTCATATATAAAGATGGGACAGTTGAAAGCCAAAAACCTTTTTTTTTATGAAAAACAGAACCAACTCTTCTTCCTCAACATTTTATGTTGCTAAAAGATATCAGTTGTAAAACTGATTGCTGTAAATTAAAAGAATACCTAATTGTGCAATATATTTCATGCATATTTTTAATTTTATTGCCTAAATGTAAAGCAGTTTTTTACATGTATACTATTTATATGATTGTCTTTGCTACAATAAAACATCCATGTACTTCTTTGCGAAATAATAGTTACATCTGGGGCATCTTCATGACGCCCTGGATTACAATTACTATGAGCCGATGATTCAAATGTATCATTTTCTCAAAAGCATAAAGCAGAAATGTGATAGAAATTGCCCTTGAAAAAATATTTATATTTACATAACTATAACTATACAGTACTCACCTGTTTTGTTATCAGCCCAGTAAATAAAATCTTTATAAAGAGTAAGCGCAATAGGTTCACGCATTTCTTTACTAAAAATTACAGTTTGATCATTTCCATCTAGATCTACAGATTTAATAACAGGGGGATTCCTTTCTGTCCAATACAATCTCCTTCTATCATAGTCCAAAGTTAGGCTAGTTGCCAAATCTGTTGTTGTTACTAGAATTTTTTGATGCTTTCCGTCCATGGTAGCTTTTCTTATGGATCCCAACTCGCTCCAATACATATAACTTTAAAAAAAATCAATTAGCATTAAAAAAACATCAAAACACATTTTCTGATGATTTACTTGTGAAAAAATATCGAAAATATAATAAAAACTGTTAACAAAGATTTTTACTAGTATATCTTCTAACATTTTCCAGCGACTAGAGTGTTTTGAAGTTACAATGTTCAAAATATGTTTTTCCATAAACCAGCTGTCACCTGCTTACGAAACTTGTGCGAGATAAATATTCATTTATTTATTATATGTGTTACAGGAGAGAGATGTTTTCTATCTGAAAGCAGAAAAAGGCAATAAGGTTGTGATCATGGATGATTTAATTGAGAATGGTCCCTATAGAAAAATACCAAAAAACCCATTGTCTAATATGGTTTCAGAAGTGAAAACTACACTTAAAAAGTGCAAAAAATTGATCACACCGGCTTTGGGCAGAAGTTTGCAAGTTTATTATCCCACAATAGCCAAACAAGTCAGTGCAACCAATTATATCAGAAAGGTTCCCTACGTATAAGATTCTTAACAGTTTGAAACCCTATTGATTCCACAATCTAGATCAAGTGTTAACAACTAACATAAATTCATCGAAAAGATCAAAGATGTAAGGTTGCGAGAAAGAGAGATCTCAGTATCATTTGACATATCTTCATTATTTCCAAGTGTAAACATACCAAAAACAATTGAATATTTGAAGGATCTTTTAGATGTTAATGAAATAAGTGGTAAAGTAGTCGAAGAGTACATCCGGTTTATCAAAATTTGCACGTAACAAAATTGCTTAAAGTTCGCCAACTGTTTCTATGGGCAACATGAGGGTACTTCAATGGGAAACTCGTTTTCTCCTTTCATAGCTAGTCTGTTCATGAGCTGATTTGAAATGGAAACAAGGGAACAGTTGGATTACTTTCGACGAACCTGGATCTGATACGTGGATGATGTATTTGCCATTTTCGATACGAATAGGAGTAAGATTTGCAAGTATAAAATTCACGTATTAAATTGAAAATAACGAAGAACTACCATTTTTTGATGTACTAGTTATTAAAAATGTCGATAAGGGTCTAGAGTTTGATGTATAAAGAAAGAATACGAGCACTTTCAGGTATATCCCTGGCAGCTCACATCATTGCCCACAACAAAAAATGAAGGGACTACAATTTCTTGTCCATAGACTGCTCACATTTCCCTTGAGCGAAGAATGATATGAGATTGAGAAAAACTTTGTTAGGGAGGTGGCTGAAAGCAACAGATATCCATCAAACATGGTGGACAAATTAATTAGAAAACAAATATTTGGGGAGTAACTTCTTAATGCCTCGACTTTTCGAAAGGGGGAAGATTCAAAATTCATAGTGCTTACATATAAACCCAAATACATCAATCGGTTGGTCCGAACATTCAAAAAATTAAATATAAGAGTAGCTTTCAAAACTGCTCGTACACGTCAACAAGAGTTTTGGCAGTTCAAAAGACAAGTCGTTGGAAAAAGAAATGTCTGGCATTCAAGAAATAAACTGATGTGATAAGAAATATGTTGGTCAATCCAAACGGACTATATTAGCTCGCTACAAGAAACATATTTCGCATGTTCGGTTTCATACACTGGAGAAATATAGTGCAGCTCAATATGCCATAGAGAGCAACTATAGAATAAGTGAAAAATGTTTAGAATTGTTGAGACCGGTACATGACAACAGGTTTCTGGATGCCTTCGAAAGCTGTGAAATCGAAAAGTGCAGAATGAGTTCTATGAACAGCGATTAAGGTCCTATTTCGAACAGACCTTTGTTTGGTCTTATACGTAATAATTCTGAATAAAATAACAGATGAATAATAGAGATAATCACTAACCTAGAGAAAATACATAACAAATTGTAGGTATTAAAAAAACAGGTAGTTTAGCATAGGATCAATAAGAGGTAGTAATCAGGTAATACCAACCGGTGTAGTTAGGTAATACTAACAGGTAGTAGTTAGGCCACTAGCATATAAAAACATTAACATAGTAGTAAAATTTAGTCATAATGATTTCCTGAGGACTTGGTTAGCGAAATGCGCGTCGAAAGACCCTAATTTTTGTTCTAGTCTTGGGAAAGTGTTTTAATTAGATTCATTTTACGCCAGACGTTCCAGTATGAACTATAAAAAAAAAACATTTGGAGTTTGTTTTTTCTGTATACTCTCCAGAAGGCAATGCCATATCTGATATGGGCATCTACAAAGGCAAGTAAGCAGATCTTGCAAATGATGTAACTAGCTCTTTTGAAACTGACTTGGTAACAAACAGCCGGATGCGAATTTTTCAATCAGATTGATTTATGCTCCTTGAATTCAAGTTTAGTAAAGTCCCAACAATTTAGAGGTCAATTTTACCTCGAGGATGTTATCAATCAGATTAAACTGTGAAAGTTCACATTAGATTGGGAGATGAATTTTTTTCAAAGTTTAATGAAAGCTTGTATGAGTCGCACCAGCTATTTATCTTTTCTCTCTTCGTCTTTTTGTCTTTAGATGGGTCCCAGATTGGAAACTCGGGGAATACTTGTTTTGATTTCTTCCACACTGGACTCTGTTATAAGTCTCATAAACTGCTTTCAGTGCAATGAGTATGATTTGAACCATCTAATCCCAACCAGCAGTATATTTTAATCAGAGTTGGGATCTAACCAACGTTCACAATAGCGATTGTTTTATGAGTAGAACTCACTAATCATCTGGCTACTAGAAGATTATCTTCAATGACTTCAATTCCTATATTATATAAAAATAATTAAGTTAACCACATTATGTACTTACCCTGCCATTGGATCCAAAACAATACTATGAGGTTCATAAGCTTCATCCCACAATAAGGTTCTTCGGCTTGTTCCTGTCAATCTAGATACCTCAATGCGGTGAGACACAGGATCAGTCCAATATATATTCAAGCCTAACCAATCAACGGCTATTCCTTCTGGCGCTGACAAACCAGCTTCAATAACTTTTTGTGCATCTGATCCATTAACAAAAGCTCTCATTATTGTGCGAAGTTTACTGTCACTCCAATAGATACGCATTGTATTTGTATCAAAGTCAATCGAACTGAAAAAAAAATAATAATAAACTAATTTTTCCTAATTCCATTCCTACTCTTATACCACAAAAAATAAATGAAAAATTAATCATATAATACTAAATAACATACTTTAGCTCAATAACTGATGCAAAAACCAACTTCAAATATTTTTTTTCGGCAACCATTCGGGAAGGACCCATTTCACGAACGTTTTTCTTTGAAAAAAATAGGTTTTTTTCGGCCTAGTCCGGGAAGTATGTACTTCCTGGACTAAAGAATCACATCGTTATCGACATCGTGAATATGAAAATCTTAGTAGGTGTGGTTTTGATAAATGCAAATGCAGTTAATCATTACCATAGCAGCGAAATAAGGACTGACAGCTATTTGAAATGAAATTAGTTGACATTTTGATTTTTGAAAGTTTGCATGGTTTTCGTTCCCAATTATCGCAATAAACTATAGAAAGCAGCAGCGATACTGGGTTTGACAATGTGCCTTACGAAATTTCCAATGCAGCAGTTGCGGCTACAGCACAATTATTGCCAGAAATATCAAAGTCCAGGTACAGAAACGTTTATGATTTGTTCTCGAAATGGATGGATTTGAAGAAATGCAAAACTATTACAGCAGATGTAATTTTTGCTCATTTGGCACAAAAATCTGAATTTGTTGGTTATAGAGTAATGAAATCAGAAGTCTTCAACAGCGAGCAGATCAACAAATTCATTAGGGAAGCTAATAATAAAACATATACAGGGTATATCTTGACAAGTTAACGCAATCTATATATAGAAAACTGAGAATAAGGCGATTCTGAAATTTGGTAGGATGGGTGAAGAACTAATGAAGAATTCAACTAAAATATTATCGTTGAGGTGACGTTTCGGGTTTCACCGGAAGTGACGTCATCTTTGTTATTTTTAATGGCACACCCTGTATTTCACCTCATTTTTGAATTCCCCCCATGATTTAGATTGTAACTCATGCATCATACCCTATATCCAAAATGAACCGTTTTCGAGTTATTCCAGTTTTTTTAGAAAAAATGTCAGATGCAGCCTGATGCAGTTATTCCAGTTTTTTTAGAAAAAGTGTCAGATGCAGCCTCTCGAAAATACATCATTTTTATGTAAATTAACATTTTTAAAAATATGCAGCTAGTGAATCGTCACTAGCCAACAACAAAAGAAGATTTTCAGCAGAGAGTTCATACTGCTTGATAAGACGAGCTGTAGGAGACGTCATACGGAGAAGTGTAAAATGCTTAGAAGTTGGAGGCAATGTATTTGAACATTTGTTGCAATAAAAAATGCGGTTGACAAAAGTGTCACATGTTCTTGTTTAGCATTGAAACTAAATTTGAAATTGTTGTTTATTCTAATCATGATTTTTGTCTTGAATGTGGGATTATTTTTCATGAAATATTCAATGGAAACTAGGCAACAAAGAAATTTTATCAGACAAAATTAGGGGATAAAAACGTAAATTCTCGCGTGATAATAACTTCCATTGCGGAATATCACCAAAATTGTAAGTTTTGGGTATAGGGAAGTGTATCATAACTAGGGCTTATTTTCATAATAGAATTGAACCTTGAGGGAAAAAATGGGGGTTCCCATTTGAAAAAGTTGAGATTTTTTATTTTTCTCCTTCACTTATTGGACCCTAATTTTTGCGCACCTTGTGGATTATTCAGTGGATGTGAAAATGATGCGTGATCCATTCAACCTTCAATTATCACGAATCACTAGATGCATATTTTTAAAAATGTTAATTTACATGAAAATGACGTATTTTCGAGAGGCTGCATCTGTCACTTTTTCTAAAAAAACTCGAATAACTCGAAAACAGTTCATTTTGGGTATAGGGTATCATACATGAGTTAGAATCTAAATCATGAGAAAAATTCAAAAATGAGGTGAAATACATTGGTGAAATGATTTTAGAAAATAAAAGTATCAATTTCATGTGCTTCATTTTCAGGTAGCAACAATTATTGGATTAGTCGGTGCGTGTAGACAGAAAGAACTAACAAAAATGTCAACTGATCTAATAAACAACAAGGAAGACATGTTGCTTGTAAAAATACCAAATTCCAAAACACATATTGAGAGAATTTTTGTTATAATTGGGCATAAAAACCTGCAATATTCATCTTCATGGCCATCCCATACTTCACATAACAGATTATTTGTGAATTACACTAAATATATTAGTATAAATAAAAATTAGAATGTTTCTGTTAGTACCATCTTCTGTTCGAATTTCGAGATTTAAAACAAATAACAATTTAAATGTTTGAAATTATGTTCTACAAAGAAATATAATGAAGAAATATGTCTCACTGATTTGTTATTCTATACAGGTATCGAAAAAATAGTGTATGTAACACATTTGAAAAGAGTAAAGTAAGTAAGTAAATCATCAGTGATTCAGCTGGTTAACGGAAAAACAGATTTTAACAGATACAGATTTATAACTTTAATATTTTTTGTTTTGCATATGTTTGAAATGTGGAATCAATTTCGATGGGAGAGAGAGAGTGGAATGTCATTATATAAGTAAAACATGTTATCAACAATTCTTCATTATATTTGGCATCTTCTCACGTCTGTTCTGCATTTAATTTCATTGTATACATATGGAGGAGTTTCACTTTCAATGATTTTATGGAACAGTACCAAGACGTGTTTGTTTTATAGATGGTGTGTGAGTTCGGACCTCTCTTTCTGATTCCAAAAGAGAATTACAGCCAAGCATTTTGGGCTCTTTGTATTCTTTGTTGCTCATGGACATTTGAAAAATATTGGTTGAGAGAGTACAAAATTAATGCATCACATAGAAGCAATTTAGTTGCTAGGCTCAAGGCGTGACTGTGAGGGTACAATAATTTAATTTTTCCGAATGCTCTCTGTATCAATGAGGAAATATGTTTCCTAAATTTCATTTCATAGTTTAGTATTAATTCTCACATATTTCACTTGCATAACAACAGGCAGGTTTATATCGCTATTTCTCCATCTTCCAAATATAATCGATAAACACTTATCAGTGTAGGGCATGTTTCTTGGATACATCAACTAAAGGATTCAATTCTTCATTTAAAGCAATTGTGCTTGGCAGAAAACCACGACAATTGAATGAACAATATATTTGTATTTCATCAGTGTTGATACAATATTTAAGTTTAACTGAGCTAGTGATTAATTGGGCAGTATGAATTATATAGAGAATTGGTCTGAGAATTGTCCCATGTGGTATGCCCTTTCAAACTTGAACGTTCATTCTCATCTTTCACCAATCGAGACCTGATTGATGGGTGAGATTTGAAAATACATCTAAACCTACTCATCATCTTTCTGCTCAAGTTGTTCAACATTTATTAATTTACTTTGGAATTCAAAATAATTTGATTATTGCTAACACAGTCAATATTCAGTTTTTAGGAGCTGACTGAAAAGTTCAAAAGACACTCAAGATCGACAAGAAATGAAAATAGGAGCAACTTGAAAATAGATTTCAGATATCAAGCCAAATCTCTGTAAAAATCAAAATTACCTACCTTGCTTGCTTTATACCAGCTATTGGAATTATTTCTTCATAATTATGATTTTCAATACCAATTCGTCCAATATAACCCTTCTTAGTGAACAATAAAAAAGCTTCTGGTATAACACAGGTTCTTCCATCTCCGAGTAATTCATAATCAATTTGACAAGCACAAACTTTTGTCTTATTGTGCCTATAAAGACAAAGTTGGGAACAGTCACCATTATTTCTTGTACACGGATTTTGTCCATGTTGAATTCCTAGTTTTATAGCTTTGATTCCCATCACATTTTCCATTTGATCTACAATAACTTCTCTGTTGCTTCCTGAAAAAAAAATGGCATTAGGAACATTGATTCATGACCAATGAATGACCAATAAAATTTCATTAAAATCAATATGAATAATATTAACAAAATGTTAGTTATTCTAGAACATGTTTCCGAGTTCTCAAAATTATTTCATGGTATTCAGCCCATTTTTCCACAAAATAATTAACAAATTCACACATAACTAAATAATAATAAATAATGAAAATTTATTGATCCCAAGAAACATTACCTGTTTATAGTAGGGACAATCTAACATACAAATTGAAAAAAGCATACTAAGAATAATACAACATATAAAAAAACAGAAAAACAAATAAAAATATGTGAAACTAGAAAATTGTCAACCTATTTCAAGATGTATTCATTAGTTGTGTTTTGAATTTCGTCTAATATTTTTTTATAATGTTATCATGAAAAATACATTTTTGACCAAATTTACCAGTATTGAATCCATATAATTTTTATTCAATTGTATCCTTCAAAAGACACAAGTACAAATTTCACAGCTGTCGGACTATTAGTTTGTAGGATAGAACATTTTAAATGAAACATCTTTTGTTAGTTTCAAGAAAATGGATAAAAAGGATTTTCGTGTGTTAATAAAGCATTGTTTTTTGGCAAAAAAAAAACTATTGAAGCCAAGGTTTGATTTGATAAAAATTATTGAGATTTTGCAACAAGAAAATCAACCAATGAGAAGCAACTACGAGGTGAAATGAGCACCGAAGTCGATGCACGCAGTGGACACCTCAAAGAGGCTATAAGCAATAAAAACATCAAAAAACTCTACAAAATAATTTAGGGTAACCGCAAGATGAAGTTGATCATGATAGCTGAGGCTCTACAGATATCAAAGGAACGTGTTTGACATATCGTGCATGAGTATTTGGGTATGCAAAAGTTCTTTTCAAAGTGGGTGCCGCGTGAGCTCACAATCGACCAAAAACAACAACGAATTGATCGTTCAGAGCAGTGTTTGAAGCTATTTCATAATAAAAAAAACGAATTTATGTGTCGATATATGGCAATGGATGAAATATAGCTCCATCATTTCACACCAGAATTAAAAACATCGTCATGTGAGTAATAATAATAATAATAATATTTATTTCTTTGGTTGAAAAGTACAGTTGACAGAAATCAATACACAATAAACAAAGAACATGTCAATTATAAAAGTAAATGTAAAAACATATAAATGTAAATAACTACATATAACCATTTTACAAAAGTCAATCCAAATAATATGTAACCATATTATAAGTCAGTCAAAATAATATAAACAACACACTAACACAGTAGACCGCACATGGGGAACCGACTCCAAATGGGATGGGAAAACCCATCAACAGCGACTATTACATAGTGTTATTGAGCATTTGAAAGAAGAAATCGCGGAAAAACGACCCCATTTGAAGAAAAAGAAAGTGCTGTTTCATCAAGATAATTCACCGTGTTAAATCAATGAAGACGATGGCAAAATTGCATGAATTGGGCTTCAAATTGTTTCCGCATCCACCGTATTCGCCAGATCTGGACCCCATCGAGTTTTTCTATTCTCAGAATGCTAACTGGAAAGAAATTTAGCGCCGATGAAGAGGTAATCGTCTAAACTGAGGCCTATTTTGAGGCTAAAGACAAATTGTACTATAAAAATGGTATCGAAAAATTGTATGACTGCTATAATCGTTGTAACGCCCTCGAAGGCAACTATATTGAGTAATAAAATCAAATTATGTAATTTTTTATGTTAACCTACGAACTTTTCAGCCCAACTGTTTATGTACTTTAACAATAATCTATAACTATCAGTTAGATGTAAGGAAAAAAAAAAGCAAAAATATACCCATCAATTATTATACAATCTTTTCACAGTGTTTTTAAATGATTCCAAAGAAGAATTGAAAAGTTCTAAATCTACATTGTATATGTTTGCAAGTCTCAAAATTCTACGTATAGACTCATTCTGGCCATATTTAGTATGATAAAAGGGTACTTTGGAGATTTCTGTATTTCTTGTAATCTTTGGATTCACATTTGAAGAAATAACTTCAACATGTTCCAGAAAATTATTGCTATCATTGATTATTTTCTGAATTGGTGTAAGATCTGATTCTAATCTTTTATGAGCCAAAGTATTCAAGTTAAGAATGTTCAATATAATTTTAAAGTTATATTCACCAATATGATATCTCAGTTTATATGCAGAGTACCTTAAAAACTTGTTTTGAACACTTTCAAGCATATGAATATCCACATTATATGAAGGACATCAAATTGGGGAGTTGCATGCGATTATTGATTTAACAATTGAACAATATATGATTTTTAAGAAAATCTATGGGAGAAACCTAACATTAATATAGTGCTCTAGAAGGAACATTTGCAATATAGGGTTTGTGTCAGAAACACACCCTGTATTTTTGAACATATTTCTAGGAATGATAGATAAAAAGTTGTTAATGTAAAAATAAGTTTTTGTAACTTCTGTTGTCACCCAAGTATTTATATTTTTTTCAAGTCTCCATCATATGTGATTCAATAATTCTTGTGCATTAGTAATTGTGTATAATGAAAAACAAGCTTACAAGGTTATTTAGGATATAGCGGGTAACTATTCTTATGGATCACAATAGTTTGAATGACATTTTCAAGAGTGATTTCTAAATCTTCGATTGTATTTGTTGTTTCCAGTTCTGATGGCTTGATTTCATATAAGTATGTATGTATGTATATTGCAATAAATTTATATTCCACAGAATACAAAGTTAGATCATCAGCAAACAGAAGAAATTCACTATAGAGAATAACATCAATCCATTCATTCACAAGTATGTTGAAAAGTAATGGCCCTAAATGAGATCCCTGTGGTGCACCAGATGAAACATATGGAACAAAAGTTCATATAGCCAAAACTTCCTGGAAAGTGACAATTCTGAAATAGGTTGCACACAAATGCTCAAGTACATAGATGATGATGCGTGTATATGCACAAGGGAGCAATTTTTTCATAGGATTAGTGGAGTGTCCTTTGGTTTGGAAAATTCTCACAATTAAACAATGGTACCTTTTTTTCAGTCACCGGCTATAGTGTTTATACTGTTTGGTATACAATTTTGATTCAGCTCATAATCACTGTATAAAGAAATGATAGTATCATAATACATTCCTTGTTGGATATGTAATGTGTCCAATTATGTATTTTAATAGGACTTATATACTGGTAAGCTTAGCCAAGTTAAAACATATACATTAAATATATCTAATAGTAGCAGAAAATTAGTGAATATATAATTTTCAAAACAAAAATGGTAACTTGGAAAAAAAAGTGAAATTACAAATCCTATTTTGATTATCAGTATTGACAGTAATACAAGACACATATAGATTGAACCCAACTCAAAATTCAAATGTAATAAAATTATTTTTTTCTTTATTTCTAATTACCTGTGTCCTTATTTGCTCTGTCTATAGCTCGTCTTAGCCAATCAGTCCAAAATATATAGTTATCCATTAAACTGAATCCAAAAACGTGTGGCACATTATCATTTATAAGTTCTCGTCTATCAGTTCCATCCATATTTGAATATTCAATTTTATCAGTTTTTGCATCACCCCAATAAATTTTAGAATTTTCTATATCCAGGGTGAGACCATTTGGCCATCCTATTTTTTCAGTAACTATCTGAATCCTTTCCGATCCATCCAAATTAGACCTTTCAACTTTTGGATCCTTTTCATTCCAATCGGACCAGAAGAGCCAGCCCAATTCAGATGCGACAGCAATTCCTGTAGGAAAATGTTTTCATAAGAATTAAGAAAAACATTATTGTCATTTATTATTCCAAAATATAAACCATCACGATATCCCTGTTAAGTAGTAGAAAGTTAGAATAAACTATATATTCCTAATTCAATTGATTCCTCTGTTACTACATAACCAGGCTATTCAAATTCAAGTCTATGCATGGAGTTTTCGTAAAGGCTAAGAGAAAGAGTTCGGGTCATATTGTGACAAAGTTGCTTATTTTAAAATACTATTGAGCATGTTGTAAATCACGCCCTAAAGAAAATAACGCCGACCGCCACTGGTAGCCATAAATAACTAACTCTGACGTGGTCAAGGCCGCGCGTAGCCTCGATTATTCTAGTTTTCACACCGGCTTCGATGGAATCCCGGCGAATATTCCACCGGCTTCGATGGAATTCCGAGGAATCTTCTACGGCCTTCGATTGCCAAATATAAACACGATCCACTCGCTTATTGAGACAGTCAAGTGGAAGTAATAGTGCGATACGCGGAGCGATCTAGTAAGGCGATAGACATTTGAATAATAATTGAAGTCTTAGTGAAAGTGTTTTGTTGTATTTGAAGTGAAATAAAGTTAAGTTTGATTATTATACAGCGTAGTCAATTAGTGAAAAACACCAAATAATTGACTCAAAATTTTTTGGTTCCTAGACAACATTGCTAAAGTTGATAGTCAGCTTGATCTTAGATGACTCTGAGATTTCAGGAGAATGTCAAATGTAATATACAGAGAGCATATGAACTTCACACATAATATCTAAATCGATGAAGAGTTAACATTTTTTTATATATTTGTTATGAGACATGTATATGAGAGTTTAGTATTTGATGTGTATAGGATTACCATTGAGTAAAGAAAGATACAATGCTGAGAAAAATGCTTTTAAAATGTTTGAAATCAACAGGTTAACTTCAAACATAGACAATGAGTTGATAAAATTTATATCAAGCTTTCAAAAAGTTGATGTTTCAAGTCTTATTCCATTCCATATGAACTTGGAAGCAATAGTGGCTTGGATAAAATTTAAGAAGAACTAAAAATTAAATTCGTCTTCAAAACTCTTTGTACACTCAAACAAGATGATGGAGATTGAGAAGTATATGATTTACATTTATTTGAAATAGGTTGAGAATGTTTTATGGTGAATTTCACTAGTTCGGGCTTCCATTGTCTAATATTATTCTAATGTGATTTGAAATCACTGAAAGAACAAATAAAATTAAAATGAATAGCTAAAAATATTGATTACATTGATCAATAAAAACGTGAAATGAAATAACAATAAAATAAAAATAAGCAAAAAAATTAAAAATATTACGTTTTTATTGCTGAATATAACTGATATTCTTAGGTATTCATTTTAATTTTATTTGTTCCTTCAGAGATTTCAAATCACATTAGAATAATATTAGACAATGGAAGTCCGAACAGGTGAACTTCTCTATGATTTATTCCTCAGGCAATGTCCAGAAAAAACATAACATCAAACTTTAAAATTGTATTCAAAACGGATATTCTTTAAATGACCAAATAAATAAAATATAAATACACAAAGTTACGGTTTATAATTCATATCATCTCTGACTTCTGACACCAATTTGGTCTTCAGAATGCTTATTGAGAAAAATGTTGCATTTATGAAGTATGGGGAGAAGTGTTTTTTTTGTATCATTTCCTCAATATTAGTGGGAAATATTCAAGCAAAACCCAATTGTTTAAATATCATTGGCTTATTTAAATAAATTATTAGAGTAATACTTCACTTCAAAATTTCAAATCTGAGAATTTCTTTTTTTATAAAATGATCTGGACAACAGTTTGAACACGTTATAATACTCTAAATATTTAATTTTGATTGAGTAAAAATTAATTATTACCTCTAGGATCAAGTAGTTTATCCATTACAATGACTTTACGATACCCTCCAGAAAGTCTTGCAATTTCTATCCTATTTGAACCTGCATCTGTCCAGTAAATATTACGAGATATCCAATCCAAAGCTATACCATCCGGATCTTGTATTTCTGTCTGTATCACATCTTGTTGGTTGGTACCATCCAGTTTAGCTCGTTGTATTTTTTTCACCTCATCATCAGACCAGTAAATGAAGTTTTCAATTGGATCAAAATCTACTGCTATAGAATATTTCACATCCCCAAGAGGTATAGATTTGATGCTATATTCTGGTGAATCCAAATAAATGACGCAAATTTCAGTCCTTTTAGCTAATAAAAGCAATTCTTGCGGTCCGTCGAAACAAGTTGTGCTGTTCTGTAACTTTATTCCTATTGGACAAGCACAAGTGAATTGAGAGACATCTTGAGAAATGAGGCATAAATGAGAACATCCCCCATTGTTGATTTGGCAAGGGTGGCTCTGTTTTGGTTGGTGTTGTTGATCCCATACACGAATATCCATTGGATGTTGAGCAGATAATAAATCAAGAGGATGCTGCTGCTGACCAGACATTTCAAAATAATGAATAGCCCTAAAATATCAATAATAGAAATATAATTCATTGATCTACAAATTAGCAAAATGAAACACAACACACTACCATCATATGAATTCATCAAATAAGTCAGAAAATGGTCAACTGTTCAAATACATATCTAGACCTGCCAGTCAGTGAGGCAATGTTCATTCTCTCAAGAAAGTACCGGGAATCAATCTGCTTGAAAAAAAATCTGTTTAAAATCTGTTTTTCCGTTAATCAGCTGTCGCCCCCATACGAACGACAACTCTCAGTTGAAAAACTTGTGCGAGATAAGGACTAACGAGGTATTACCTTTTAACGTGTGATTCCTAACACGGTGATTCCTAAAAATGTGTGATTCCTAACACATTTGAAAATCCTGTGTAAAGAGATTGTTAACATCACTTTTGTAGCTAGGTTGGTACAACTCTTCTCCATACTCACGAGGAGATTGAGCGCAATCCGTTATTCAGTTTGTTGACAGTACTCAATCCAAAACAAGCAAGTTTCCCAATCACCAGAAATGCGATACTCTTCTCGACTCTTGGCTGGTAAAATGAGCGTCGAGAAGAGTACTGCAATCAATCAATCAAATATACTTTTTATATACATTTTATAAATACATATATACATTTTTATATACATACATTTTTGGTGATTGGGAAACTTGCTTGTTTTAGATTTGGTTTGCGCCAGCGGTTCCAATTTAACCTTTTATACTCAATTTGTAAATTAACCTCGAACTTGTTTTGGGATTTTCACAATGAATAAAAATATAAAACAGAATCGATAAAACATGTGCGTATAAATGGTACATGCATTTAAAAGCGGTCGAGATGTGGTAGAAGATTTGCCTCGCTCTGATCGGCCATCAACAACCTCAACATCGCTGAAGTAAAGAAAATAGTGACTGAAAATCGTCATTCAAGTCTGAGAGATAGCCGCTCAAATTTCTATGTCTCACGAATGCGTTCGTACCACTTTAAACAATTTTTTTTTCAATCGAGCTGAAACCAAAAAAGCTCACCAGAGCCGATCAAAAGTTAAGATGATGTTAACAGTTTTACTTTTCCATAATAATAATAATAATTCTTTATTTCCAGTAGGACAATAAAATTGTGTAGGAAGTGTCAATACAATACAAATTTAAAAAAAGAAAAGAAAGAAGAAGACAGGCTTATGCTCTAAAACTAAGATGACTATGCATTATTCAAAGAATTCCTGCAAAGCATAAAAACATTTTTCTAATAAATATTTTTTTAATGATTTTTTGAACAGAGAAAAACTATTCAAGGCTTTTAAATAATCTGGAAGGTGATTATATATCTTTGGACCTATGTATTCTGGTCCACATGTTACTTTGAATCTAGCTAATGGCAAGTGAAAATGGTTCTTGGTTCTAGTATCATGTTGGTGAAGTTTTAGATTTGTTGTAAATCTTGATTTATTTTTGAACGCATACATACATAGTTCAGAAATATAAACTGATGTTAAAGTTAAAACGCCGTACTCATTAAAAAGTGCCTTGCATGATTCTCTATTAGGAAAATTTGCTATGCACCTCAGAATTCGCTTTTGTGCTATACAAACATTTCTTGCTGTGGTGGAACCACCCCAGATACCATACCTAATCTTGATTCTACTTGAGCATAATATATATTTAGCAGCTGACTCTTTGTTAAAACTGTTTGTAAATTGATGAAGAGAAACTTCAATGAATTAAGTTTTGATATTAATTGTTGACAGTGGCCTTTCCAATTGAGGAACTCATCTGAAATGATTCCCAAGAATCTTACATTGTGATCAGTATTTGTTAGGCTCACATTGTTTACCATGAAATGATGTACCATCTCACAAGGCTATCATTGTGATCGAAGTTCTGGCCAAAAACTCAACAATCCTTGTCAAACAGCCAAAGAATTCACCTAATATCACTCCGGCCGATTTTTTCTTTTCCAAAACTCAAATTACCACTTCGAGGCCCCTGTACTAAAGAGGATTCCAAAAAATGCATTTAAAATGTGTCATGGCAATGAATCTGGATGGAATTTATATCTAAAATCTGGAATATATACAGCCAGCGGTGTAGCAGGTTGTATAAATTTAATGTTTGTGAATCATTTTACGAATAATAAAAACATTCAAAAATAATTAATAAAGGTAGTGCAGATCATTTAATTAAACATATAACTTCAATAATGTATTTTTTCAAATTTAAACACTTGATATTTTCCATAATAAGTAACACAATCAAAAATGTCTTGTCATTGTTATGTCATATAGTTGTCCATCTTTCATGTTGAGAAATATGTTTTCTTAATACGAAAGGTTGTGTTAGTAACTCATTGAACTGTTTCTGGAAGCGTAGTGTCTGAGCAACATGTCGACTATCAAAGAATATCAGTGAATCAAAATATACTATAGATGTCATGAAATCGACATCAGAGGAAGAAAAAAATCACCTGGAACCTTCAATCCCACAACAGCACCAAACTTTGGAGGGTTGAAGCGGGTAGGGGATCAAAACAATTAAATCAGCAATGTCGAGTGGAAGATGAGCAATCCTCCACTTTTGAGGAATTTTATATTGTTCTGGTTCAAATTGTAGGTGTGTACTTTTCAAAGATGAATTGTCACCTTCCTCAAAATTTCATATAGGTAGAGTAAAGAATATAAAGGACTAGATGACGTTACTCGTGTTGTACTATTGAGACCCTCAAAGGGAATACTTAAGAGACCCGTGGCTAAAGTATATATATCATTTTAGGTGAGCGATATGTTCAAAACTTGTGCTTACTCTTATGTAAAATACAAGTGCTTATTATTCACTTCAATTCAAATTGCCATCCTTAACCTCGATGGCAGAAAAAAGTTAACCTAGTGATATAAATGCGAATCTTGATATAGTAGTCGGTACTCTATAATAACTCAAATTAATCAATCAAAATATACTTTATTTTTTCAAAAAGTTTTTTTTTCAACAATGTTCACGAAGTAGAAATACAGCAGACAAGAAATATAGAACATGAAAACAAACTCAAAGTTGCTAACAGTACTCTGCCAATTAAGTAATTATGATCAAATTTCACTTCAACCTCACTCATGAATAACATCAAAATCAAAAATGTCTCACAAAGATTTTTGTCATTATTAAAAAAATATAGAATAACATAAACAGTTCAAGTTTTGCCAGGCATAATACAAACACGTAATACTAGATAATTAACTTGAAGAACTCTTGAGTGCTATATTTTGGGTTAGTCAATGGATATTACCTTGCAGAATGTTAGTCGAATACTCCCAATGTAGATGGTGAACAAGGTACTGCCTTGGTTCAAAATTAAAATTATTTATTTAGAATTCCTTTTTAAAAATATTTCTGCATCTGAGTGTTGAAATACCTATACCTCTCAAGTTCCANACAATTTGATTCCATAAATTTGATTATCAAAACTCTGCAGGTGTTTGTATTGCCAATAACGACGCAAAATTTTGTCCAGTTACTTGTTCCTTTTTCAAAGTAATTAGTGCAAAATAGACAAGAAACTTCAATTTCTGTAATGGTATACATTCAAAAAAAGTATCTGAAAAGGCATGTTTTTACATATGTCTGAATTACATTTCTAGAAAAAGTCATGTATCCATAACTTGTACAGTTTGTCAGAGATGAAATCGATTGAAACATAAACTTATTCAGAAAATGATTCATCAACTGGCTCGTATTCTGAAGTTATTCTACACACTTTAGTTGAAAATTTCAATGGTTTCAAAGATTCAAGAAGAGTTAAAATTATTTTTGATACCGGTTCCCAGAAATCCTATGTTACGAAATATATAGCTGAAGAGATGTGGTTTAAGTCTTTACAATGATTAGAGAGAGAGAGAGAGAGAGAGAGAGAAATACGTTAATTGTCCTAAGAAAGAGTTCTTGTTGACAAACGATTATGAACTATGTCAAAGTAGTATAAAAGTAATTCCTAAAAGCCCATTTATATAAAATAGGTTGTCAAACACATTTTTATGAAAAAAAATAAATGCTATACAATTTAAAATTCAAAAAATTTCCTTAAAAAAAATGCTATATTACAGTGACATACAGTAGTAAACTGTAATTCATAAAAAGCTTTGTCATTGTAAAATTCATCTAAACTATAATAGGCTTTATCAATCAGAATGTCACTTATTTTTTTCCTGAAAATATTCAAAGAATAACTCTTCAGGTATATGGGAATTTTGTTGTACATCTATTCTATTGTATATCAATGAGTCCTTCACCATTGTTGTTGTGGGCAGGGGAAGTCTAATCAAGTTAGCTTGACATGTATTATAGTGTGGCTCGATTAAGTCACACACGATCTTTTTGGTGAATTAAGAACAAGAATTGTCAAACATAATTGCTACCGCTTATAATTGAGTAACTTGAAAAACAAACAATCTTGCAACATACTTTGTATTCGAAAGGGTCCTTAGATCAACCAACTACAGTCTGTTGGTATTTGAATTCTAGAGGGACTGATAGATGTTTTGATTGGGGAAATCTATTTACTGGTAATAGTTATGAGCTAGAATGTGGTATAGTAGCTCCAGAACATGATTAGATTGGACACTGATGGGTAAACATTAAGAAGGCTATGAAAAAAATCGAGAAGTGATGTCTATGATGTCGAAAATGAATTGATTTCTGATTTATGAAAAAAAGAAACCGAGGTTTTGGTCATGTCATATTTTCTGAATACAATTGGGAATCATTAGTACTTTTACTGTTTTTCTCTTCCATTTTTGTTCTACATTCGATGTATACAGTCACCGGTAGGTGAATTCAGAATATATGTAACAAGTATACACTAGTAAGGTCTACCATCATTAAAAATTGAAATATCTTAATCCACTCTTACTCAGTTTTCCAATCTGTCCAAAATAGTTTAGTTTCAAATTGTGTTAAAGCATAAGGATAGTCAAATCCTCTATCTAAAACCATTTTTAAATTTTTTCCTTCATAGTCCATTTTGGATATGAATTTCAAATGGCCATCCACCCAAAACACAGTTTCTGTTTTATAGTCGATGGTGAGTCCGTTTGGCCAAAATATATTTTCAGAAACTATTACTCTCCTGGTCTGTGGATTTCCATCCATACTAGCTCTCTCAATTTTTGGTGATTCACCCCAATCGGTCCAGAACATAAAACTGTAAAAGACAAGTTTCATAAAACAAAAATACACAAAATTCAAGTAACAAGATAAAAACATTTTTACACAGAAATCTTTCAAATATTTTGTCGAAACAGTTATATAATTAATAGAAGTTTTTCATATTACACGATACATTTTACGTCTTTGGGTAAGTGACTATTTGAATTATTAGTAAATACCAATAGGTCCCCGATATGCTTAGCTGGTATGTTTTGCGATAGAATTTATATTATTTATCTAAGTGCCCTTTGAGAAACAGCACGATGTAACTGCTGCTCTTTGAATGGTGAAGGTCTTACCCAAGTCAACAAATATTTTTAGAAAATTTAAAAAATCTTTAGACAAAATCACAAAATAAATTTGTCTTACAGACATATTTGGATTACACCAACAGTAATTTTTGAATAATTCTATAAAGAAGAACATATACTTATTTGAAACGATTGAAATCTATTCTCAGATTTGAAACTTGACTTACCCTTTCTTAGGAACAAGAGCTATGGCACGTGGTTGATCAATATCAGCCCAAAATAATACTTTTCTGTACTTTCCTTCTATAGTGGCAACCTCAATGTTATTAGTTTCACTATCAGTCCAGTATATTTTATTGGTAATCCAGTCACATGCTAACCCATCGGGAGTGAAAACGTCTTTAATAATTTCAACCTATAAAACCGAATAAATTGTATTGTTTCTGTTAATTCGTTAACAGATAAAATTGTTCGAGTATTAGAAACTGAACAGATCCACATTGCTTCATTTAACAATAACAAATTGAAAAATATCCAACTGAAAAAGATTCCCGAATTAAAACAAATCAAACCTGGTATACAAAGAGGAATACTTGAATTGTGATATATTATATATAGGGAAAACTGCATAGCTACCAGAATGAAACAACACAAATACGACTGTAGGGATTTATCAAAGTCTGGAAGGATGCCCTTATCCGAAAATTATCATGATCCATGTCATCACTTAGTGATGATACTGTTCAATTACTAGATTATGACGACAGCACGAAAAGAAGATTGATTTCAGAAATAAATCACATCAATCTTCACAAAAATGCCATCAGCAGGATGCACAATAATATAATAAGTACATAAATTACTTGAAGTTCTTGAAAACTGGCATGTGGATAAACTGTTTGTGTTATGATGATAGCCAAATATTTTGTGAGTTATGTATATAAATGAATCAAAGATCGAATTCTATGAATTCAGGACATTTTTTGATTGTTGTTGTCAATTCAGCAACCCGATTATTAGTCGCCCTTCGTTTATGAAATTATATTCATTTGCCATTTATTATACAAGGCGTTTCGTAACTGTATCGCCAAATTGAAACTGAAAGTTCCTCTGGATAATTAAAGTAAACGTTTCAAAAGGCATTTCTCCGAAAGGTCCTTTGTTTCAAAAATACAAGGTGTTGAATGTGAAAAAAAAAAAATTGGACATATAATTATTTAACTTAGTGGAGTATTTCAAAACAATTCAAGATAATTGTGTCTATGTATTGATCCCTTCTTATTGATGTAGAATGGAATTTTTTCCACCTTTTCAAAGACGTAGAGAAGGGGGATCGGATATTTTCCCCCCTATTTTGACGCCACTGAAAGGGTTTCACAAACTTTAGTATTTTTCAAATCTCAAGTTGAATTTGAGTAAAAAATTTGATTTTTCATTTGATTTCATTATCAAATCATCATTATATCTTTTCTAAGCCTCTGACAATGCATTGCAGTAGCGTTTCTGTAGCTCTGCTTTTGGTTGATGATATATTGGGTAAGAAGTTGCTAAATCCGATATGAGAGTTAATTGCTGCATTAAATGTAGAAGTTCCTCGTTGAAGCAAATGCTCTTTTCAGCTCTTTTATTAAAGGGTATTTTTTAATAGGGAAACAGGAATCTATCAAACCACTGATGATATTCAAAAATTTGTTCCAGGCATTATTGATATTATTTTCAGTGTAAATATTCTCCCATTGTTCATCTTCCAATTGATTCAGAAACTTAAGAGTATTCTGTTCTGAGAATTTTCGCAAATATTTGTATTGTTGAGCAGATTTGGGGTTATATTCAATATTGAAAGCCAAGTGTTGAGAGAAATGGTCGGACAGATTCAGATTTTTTACTTCTGATCGCCAGTCATTTATATTGAAGCTTATGAAAATATTGCCTACACAAGTACTAGAAATTGCAGTCACCCTAGATGGATACCTTATTGTTACTGCTATGTCATAACATGCTCAGTCTTGAATTGTGTAATATGGAGTCCTCTATATCAGGCAGGTATATCTAGGATTGAGAAAGTACAAAACAAATTTCTGAGATCATGTGCATTTGAGCTCGAATGTCAAAGGTCCGATTATGAGTACACCGATTTTCTTTTACTTTTGAATTTATCTACTTTGGAGCACTGCCACGCTGAAATTGATTTAAGACTTCTTCATAAAGTTATAAATGGTAATATGAATTGTAAACATGTAACACAACTGATTAACTTCAAGATAAATTCAAGAAGAACCAGTGTATCGGATTTATTTGAAATTCCTTACCATTCTACTAGCTAGGGCTTGAATTAATCCATTACTAGAATGCTTAGGCTAGCAAATAAGAATAGCATCTATATTGATGTATTTGATTCATCCTTATATTCTTTCAAAAATCAGATTAAACGTATTGACCTATTATGAATATACTGCTAATTTCAAAATCTTCTTCTCTAATATTTTATCTTCCATTTCAAGATGCAGTTTATCTTAATAAACATTTTGCATACTGAAAGGCAAGATTCTTAGTAGGGGGCAACTGGTGATGGAGTAGATATGTGAAAAGTATAAAATAGGTGAAGAGAATATGATATCATGAAAATACTTGGTTTGACATTATTTTCATTATTATGCTATTTTGCATATTACCGATATTACATCTATATTCATTTTTTTATCGACCTTTTTTTGGGTGTTTCCACCTTCCGCGATCTGAAAAATATGAAAATTTTAATGGAGAACTTTATACAGGTATAGAAAAGGCAAATTTTTTATTCTACCCCGATTAATTACTGCGTAAAATCAAAGTATTTTTCACAAACATAAATATTCTATTCATCAGTAATTTGTCGTATTCAATAATTTTGCCTGTCAAAAGAATAGCTAAATAACTAACAGATGTCAAAGGAGTTTTGTGAAAGGTGAAAATACCCAAAAAAAGTCAATCAAAAACTGATTTTCCTCCACAAAAAATGACTTTTGTAAAATATCTATATTCTTTTTTTTATAGTTCATTCGACATCATTTTCAGTTCTCTTTTTCTACAAACCTATCTGAATATTTCTGTTCTTAATTTTGTATATTGTTTATTTTTCTACTATTTTTTAATACTTTGGGATAGGGTTCTTTGGTCACTTCATAGTCCATAAGACGTCCAACAAATAGCTAGGGCATCACGACAGAGCACTGCATTACTGTGACAAGGCTTTCTACGACGAGAGGGCACCGGGAATCTTGTTCCGTTAGTGACATTGAGTGTGCACAGATACACACATCTTAGGATGAGGCTTCATTTACGGCTCTCACCTTCCAGTAGGGGTATTTAAACAACACCCGCTGGAGGGGCAAACACTCCTATTGAAGATCGATTACGAATATGTGTACATGTGTGGTTTATACTGTAGAAGGGTAAATAGAGATGTCAAAATGTCATTTCATCTGCCTTTAGTAAAGTTTTTTAGATCACTGTGAAGCTCGCTGTTATGCTTTAGATACAGTATGTAATAGTCAATATTCAATTTCAATATTTATTTATACATTTTCCACAGATTTCACCATTCTACATTAATGTTTTATAGGCAAATGGATCCTTTTACATTTTACATATAAGACATCAGTAGGTACAACAAAGAAAATAGTATAGAAATAATCTATACAAATGACAAAAATAAAGACAACCAAAACTAAAGATGATGAATGGGGTAATGCATAAGACTGTAGACTGCTCAAGCTATGGGAAAGCAATTCAGAAGATTCGTTCAATCTATGTCTTTTGGTGCGATAGCATTTAAAAATAGGTTCTTTAGTCAGTGAAGAATTACTTTTTAGACCACTAACATAACAGCAATAATTTACTAGATAAATCAGTTGAAAATCTGTGTGAGAATAATGAGAATCAAATCTAAGGAAAATAGCTAAGAGAGACAACTGCAAAATATATTAGAAAAAAGAGTATTCAAAAGAACTTCCAGTTGGAACAACGAAAAAATACACAGGATAACATACATACTTTTATATAGCATATAATATAGTATAAAAAAAGACAGATCAGTTAATATTTATGTTTAACAAAAGTGTTGAATGATAGTTTACACTCAGTACATCGAAGAGAGAAGTCGTCAGCAATTTATGAGGTTTAATTTTTTTTACTACACAAATAGTTATTTTTACAAATGAAAAACCAGACATTTCATATTTCATAGAGAATTACGAACTAAACCTCCAGTTAGGTATGGTTGTGCCTAATACATTGATTAGGCCTCATTTTGAATTATGTCCTACCTCAATCAGTCGTTTTGATGCTAGTTGCTTGGGTACACTTCAGAAATTGCAGAATAGATGCATGGAGTATTGCTAAAATGCAACACATAATACTCCCTTAAGGGTAATGTTTCACATTACCGTAAAAATAGGCTATTCTACTTTTCCATGATTTTCATTTTCAAAATAATAACTGGAAAACTCCCCACACTTCAACCAATTCATTGTTTACACTATGACCACTCCAACTGAGTTGACATGAATTTATATGAGGGTGAAACGCATTTTAGAAGAACAGCGCATTTTTCATTTCATAATGTATTGTATTCATTAAATGTAGCAAATCAATTAATCACTTCAAAAAATTGTTAGTTGAATTTTTTAAGTTGAATTACACCAATACATAAAACACGTTTTATGTATATGGCTTTATTTAAATCATTAACTATCAATGTTAACAATGGATTTAGGCATAACTTTCTCAATGGAAAGAAAATGTATTGTTATAAATTAACATTTTTAGTAGTGTATATTAAGATTTATACATTAATGAATACATTTTTTTTCTTCAATCAATTATTAAAGAACTATGCATTTTTGTATTTCAGTGCCCAAAAAATATATTGAAATAGGTGTAAAGTTTTAACAAACAAAATCTTAGGGAAGCATAAAATATAAACAGTGTTTGAACCCACCAGAAAAATACAACAAAGCCTGAGATCTGCGAAAGACAAAAGAGATCCACTATCAGCTGTGGGGGTATATCGTGTACAATGCATCTGCGGAAAAGTTTATATTGTTACCACCAAAAAATCCATTGGTACAAGGCTGAATGAACATCGGAGAAACTGCAGATTAGCTCAAATAGTTGAATTGGCAGTAGCGGAACACAAGCTTAGTGAAGGAGATCACACGATACTGTTTGAAGATGTGAAACTACTTGCCCCTGATCATGGATACCACAGTCGGCTTGAACGGGAAGCCATAGAAATCCATAAACATACGGAAAACTACAATAGAAAAGAGGAGGCGATAAAACTTAACCGGATTTGTAATCCCATACTAAAAGATGCTAAAGTGGCATCAGCGCAATGCAATGTTATGTAATGAACAGGTAATAACACTTCGGCCAGTAACAACGCATCAACAAGAGAGACGGACTACCTGAGTCAACATAAATACAACCTACGAACTAGAAATCACCAGTCATCGGTGAACCATCAAAATGAATAAACCTCTGAAGAAGCCAGGATGCAGTTCCAAACTACGACGACCTTCAAACCGGAATGAAGATAGTAACACCAAAAATCTCGGTCCCGAAAGCCTTAACCAATTTATCAAACATAAGTAAACTACAATTATTCATGAAAATCAAGCCTAATCCTTTTATATGGAAATATGAATGGAATTAGAGTACCAGATCCATCTTGAGTTACTCCAACAAGAACTAGTAACAGGGTAGAACGGTAGCCTGGTGAGTTGACATGGGTGGTTTGCTCCACTCATTCAATCGACCGCTGTGTGAACCGCTGGTTCCAATCGCAAGGCCGGTCGATCGATTTTGGTTTCCTATCGTCCAACCCGTGTTAGGAATCACACGTTAAAAGGTAAGACCTCGTTAGTCCTTAGCTAGCACAAGTTTCGACTTTTGAGAGTTGGCATTCGTAGGGGGGCGAGAGCTGGTTAACGGAAAAACAGATTTTAACACTAACACTGCTTGAGTTTTTTTGGTATCTATAACATCAACTACTAAGGCTACCATGAGTGTATTATGTTAATAAGTCCCCGAACAACCTTAGGAGCATCCACACTATTCCCAATTGTATCAGACATGCAACTTGGCAGAATCAATCCACCTTCAGTTAAATAAACTCCTGCGAAAAACATAGATGATTGAAGGGGTATTTGAATTCACAATTTTTTGATTTTGAGTCGGGCACACTGTTTAAGATTTATTAGATATATGTTAATTGTCTTGGTAGAAAAAATCTTGTTTACAACCATTTCTGTAACTCAGCTATATGCTACAATGGAAGTAAAAAAAAATGTTAACAAATACTCATTATAACATGTTACAATGTAAATAATATAAAGTTATAAAGTATAGGAGGACTTCACATACCTAAGTATAAATGAAATTTTAAAGTATACCTAAGCTCTAATATTGAGAGAAATGGCAAGAGTTGATTATTATGATTCAGGCCTTTTGTTATTCATTGTAACATTATGTCTATAGTAAACCTTGTCAGAAAGGTGTTTTTTTCTAAACATGTCATAATTTTCATCAGCTCTGACAGTCATAGGCCCTTCATTGAATACTTTTAGTTTTGAAACAGAATTTTTCATGAGTAACGAGTTTAATTTTGGGATTTCAAGCTGATCAGCCTATTGCTTGTTATATGTATGTTCAATATTTTGTATGAATGGTAAGCTATGGTGGTTGCCGTAACGAAGATAAGAAGTACCTTGTACCTTGTTTAAAGTAGAAAACTTTAACATATCTCAAAGTTTTGTGAAGTGTGAACTCTACCAATAGGGGTGTTTGCACTACCTTATGAGTCAGTGCAATAGAGGGACGCAGAAAAATGTTCTAGATCAAAACACTTATGTAAAAGGAAAAGATGTTAAATACCGTACTCCAGTAATCATATGTGTGTATATATATTTAACTCGACTGTATGTAAACAGGGACCATACTTCGAACAGTTCAGACCTAATATCAATCAACGACTTCGCTGAGCAGTTCTTAAGATATTAATTTAAAAATAGCTATTTATTTGAGATATCCAAAGAGTCAAAAATAAAACTCTTTTAAATTGGCGACTCTGTGAAAACAATTCCAGATATTTAATATAAATTAGATAACATACCTTGAGCAGAAATCTGAATGAAGGAAAAAATTTCCAGAAACAGGAAAGTAACTAACATTTGTACGAAGCTGAACATGACACATTGTATTCTCTTTACATTTTTCCAGTTGCTTGAATATTAAAGCACTTCATATCTCCTCTGGAAATTACAATACATTTTTTATTTATAGTAATCAACAATATGAACCCTGAATGAAATGTTTGAAATCAACATTTATCGACAAGAACAATATACAAACAATATTATAAAATGGTAAAATTTGTAAACACAACACACAACAAATCACAAACAAAAATATAAATATAATCACATAAGCACATCATAGACGTAAAGAATGGATGATTGTCACGTGACTTTCACATACCACATAGCGATGCGTACATTCAAGAGAGAAGAACTGTGAAGGATAAATTTGCTGGACACTAACTTGACGAGTTCAGTGTCTGTGCTAATGTGGGTAAGTCTCAGAGTAATAATAAGTTGCCATGCCTATACCAATATAATACATGTATTTTGAAGCGAGTATCATACTATCCTTTTCTATACAATTTAATGTCAGTTGATTTAGACCCGAAAATTTTATAGTGGCAACACTGAATAGGGGTACTGGAATCGTCCATTGATAATTGACTTGAACATGTCCTTCACATGCTGACTTTCCGTGCGTTCCACTAACGCTCACAACGATCAAATTGGTCCTATAACCGTTTAGCATAATGAACACGGTCATTGTGATCGCCTCGAAAACGTCACTCATAACGTCATTACTTTCACTCAAGGCAAGCTTGCAACGACCTTTCTCAAAAGGTACGTCGAAGTGGACGTTGAGAATATTTCAGCGCAATTTTTGAAATATGACATAAATGTTATCTGGCATTCGTAATTCATTTCTAATTTCTTAACTTATTTCGTTATTCAATCTCATAAGTAATCAATGGAATAATTACTTACACATAATCAAGTAAATCTAAGTGTGCAATTAGACATGAGATTTTTAAAATTTACAGTGTAATATGTGATAGAAAATCATGTAATTACCTGAAATGACTTTTGAATTCTTCATCTGAATAACGATAAAATACATTCTCTTAATCAATAACACGTGACCTGAGTTTTCGGTTTCCACGATTATAATTTTGTAAACTTGCAATCTACTCTCCATCTGAACTAGATGAATTAGTTTTTAGAGCACAGAAGACAAAAAAGTCTTCTGAGTTCTATAGAGCACAGGTTGGAAGCTGGGATCAAAATTAAGAAGAAGAAGAAGTACTTCTGCGTCTATGGTTCCATGTCAGAATTTTTCATTTCAATATTGGTGAAATTTGATAAATAAATATATTTCTCGAAAGTATAATATAAGATTAACTAGATCACAGGATGGTTCTGGTTCGACCTGAAGATATTCAACGTTCAAACCCTGTTGAGGGGCAAATACAACTAACTTCTTCCATTAATGTTAAAACTCCCAAAAGGGTGTTGCACTTTTCTGATGGAGTTTTAGAGGAATATAGCAGTGATGAAGAAGATTTAGTTCAAGATTCACGTAGAGAACAGGCAATCATTAATCCAGTAAGTGAAATATTTACATATAATGCTAGCCATCCCCCCCAACTTCAATTTGATCTACTCTTCAAGGTCTTGTCAGTAATTAATTCATGATCTCAATATCCAATTCACTATTGATGAGGAAATAAATAACTCTATTCCTTTCCTTGATATAAAGTTATTGAGATCATAACAAAATATTATCATCACTGAATGGTACAGAAAACCAACATCATATAATAGATTTATACATTACCATTCCTATCATTCAAATGAAATAACAATTAATTTAATAAAATCATTAAAAAACAGAATCATCAAAATTACCCATCCCGATGTACGAAACAATAGTTTGTCTAATTTCACTAAAATTCTTATCCCAAATCTTTAGTAAACAGAATTTTATTTTGTGAAAGAACAAACTTTCAAAATAATGAAGAAGTTGAACACAACAATGTTATACATTCATTCATATATAAATCGCTCCCATATATTCAAGAAATGACACCTAAATTAATTAATGTGTTTGGAAATGATAATCTCCAAAACAAATGTCACTAATATATCTAAATTATTCAGTAAACTGAAAGCTCCAATTTCAAATAAACAAATATCCAATTTTGTATACAAAATTTCTTGTATGGATTGTTCTAAAACATATATAGAACAAACATATAGACCTCTAAGTAGTCGCATCACTTTCCATAAGAGCGACTGTAGAAAAAATATTAATTCTCGTGCATTAACAGAACATGTTAATTCGGAGAATCATAAAATGAATTTTGAAAATCCAAATATTTTAGATAGAGAAACCAATACAACGANCCCCGAGTCTGGTTGAGATACTTTGATGACACCTTCATAATATGGAACCATGGGAATACAGAACTAGACACCTTCCTGAAGTACAACAACAACGTAAGTCCTTCCATCACTTTTACTATGGAGAAAAAAGTCCACAATGAATTGCCATTCTCGGACATATTGGTGAAGAGGACTGACACTAAATGGGAAACATATATATACCGAAAACCCACTCACACGGGCAGTATCTGAACCAGAAATCCAACCACTATCAATCGACTAAGAGAGAAATCATCAAGACTCTAGTAGACTGTGCTTTCGTGTTCTGTAATACAAAGGAAGGTCTCGAGAAGGAACTAGGCATTGTGGATACTAACGTAACTTGGCTTGGAATCTTTTAATTTTAATTTCTTGTTAGTAGTTAATTTTTTAAATTGTTGCTTGTATTTCATTGTAATTAAATTTTTTTGCTTAATAAAATTGTTATTTTTTAGCAAATATTTTTAATTTTTATAGATTTTTTTGGACTTCAAATCAACTTGTATCATATTAGACAATGGAAGTCCGAACTAATGAAAAGAATATCTACAATAATAAAAAATTGAAGCAACAAATGAATGAATGAGGTTATAAAAGAAACTCACCAAATTCATGTTAATAAGAAAATATTGGCATTTGCAAAACACATAAAAGTTGGGCAGAGCAGAACTTGGTTGTCAAAAAAAGTACAAATGCACGGAGCCATCTTTTGACATGCATCTTTGCACTTGGCTGCATCATACCGATGATGGGGCAAAAGCCCAAAACACGTGTCTGTTTTGCCAATTTCTTGGGTGCTATGTTCGATAAATCATCTCCTCTATTCATATTAAGACACTCAATAAATAAATAATCTATCATGGCAAACTTTCTTCTCCGCCTTCGTAACCAAGTGTTGCCCATTATTTCTTGAGAAAAAAATTATTTATATTTTATATCGAATGTCGAAAATTCTCTTCTTTACTCCATCATTCTCATCGGTTTTTTTATGTTTTGACTTATAACTAATAAATTAATTGAGATACAATGAAAAAACGTTGGCCTTATTTATTCTATATTAATTTAAAAAAATTCAGCCCAAAATTCAAAGTCTTGGCCAATTATTCATTCCATTTACAGCATTTGTTTATAAAAAAATTGCAGTAGTACAATAGTATCTTCAGGCATTGTATTGTGACGCTTGAACGCGCTACAACTGCAGTTCAAGACCGATTTTTGGTCTTAACCGCAAAAAGACAACCGACAATCACAGCACCTGAGTTGGTTAACGTGTTGCAGCAGACGCACCAGGTAACCATTGGTCGTGATACTGTCAGAAATCGACTGCATGAAGCAGATCTCCACAACAGAAGGCCACTTAGATGTCCACCTTTGTCGAGAGGCAATCGCGGTAGAAGATTAGAGTGNATATATATATATATATATATATATATATATATATATATATATATATATATATATATATATATATATATATATATATATATATATATATATATATATATATATATATATATATATATATATATATATATATATATATATATATATATATATATATATATATATATATATATATATATATATATATATATATATATATATATATATATATATATATATATATATATATATATATATATATATATATATATATATATATATATATATATATATATATATATATATATATATATATATATATATATATATATATATATATATATATATATATATATATATATATATATATATATATATATATATATATATATATATATATATATATATATATATATATATATATATATATATGTTAACTCGAAGATTCTCACGGATAAAGTATGATGAGCTGTTTTCTCGGGTTTCGCTCCGTGTTCTGTGTATTTTCTCCCCATAAGGATTATTTTCACAACGTTTCGGCAAAGTCTCATTTGCCATCTTCTGGTGATGTCTGGTTGATGTCTAGTTGACTGATATCAAACAGAATCTCATTTTCATTCACAAAGTTCACTAATTGATTTTAAACGGCATACTCTAGTGCACTCTCAATGGGAGGCAATGTATTAATAGGCCTAAGTTCCTAAGCTTTGATAGTTTTATTTACCTTTGAAATTGAAATAATGGTACTAATTTTTAGCAGATCTGGGATCTTTCCAGTCTGAAGCGAAGTGTTGATAAGATTCAATATGGCATATCCAGCAGTTTCAAAGATTTGCTTCAGAATTTTGGCATTTAGGATTTCATGTGTGTTACATTTATTATCTAATGAAGCAACAATATCACGTAATTCTCCTTAGGAGGCCATTTAGAATCGCAATTGTGCCACACTTCACCACTATGAATGCTCTCGATTACCTGGTTAATACTATTAACAAAATAATTGTTGAAATGTTCTACCAAAGATGTCTCTTCCTTTACGGTGTATGGGTCTCCATCATAATCAAATTGTACCACATCATCTGAGAATTGTTTCTATATCTGTTATTTTTTCTTCAGTAATAATTTTCTTTTTAACATGTTCACAACTTCATTTCTGTGTATTTTAAAGCTATCCCATTTGAGTACTTTTTCAGTTGGTGAAGATTTAATAAATGACTTACAGGCTTTATCTCTTTCCCTAGTTTTAATATTTACTTCATTGTCAAACCATGGTACATTATTTTTAAATGGACATATTTTCAATGGTGCTATATTTTTAATAAATGTAGAACAATTATCAATGATTGTTTTATAAATAAAATTTACATCTACTGAACTCAGTGCCCATTTCACATTTCAATATTATAGAGGTTTGAAATCTCTACAACTTTTGTTTCAAAAAATTTTATATAAGCTTAATTGTTTTCGAGATGAAGGCGGAGAGCGTGCGGTTAGAGCATCACTCAAGGTCAACCGGTAATTCCTGTCAAAAACACGTCATATAAAGTTTATTAACGTAGATATTACCACCAAACAGGCCAGAGACGATGCAGGTATACTCATTATTGAAACAGCAATTGAAGAATCTAAATCTGGAAAAACTGCACTTTAAATAGAAGATATTGATTTACTTGTCATTTGAATTGGGCGTACACTATCTCATCAACAAAAATTTGGTGTAAAGTCGGCAAAGGAAATGTAAAAACAAAAATATACTCTTTCGAAAGTTTTGATAAGTATTCTCGTTCAAAAAAAAACACATTTTTTTTCTGCACGCTTTAAGTGGCTCTGATACGATTTCTGCGCTTGTTGAAAAAGGGAAAAAACATTTTTAAATGCATTTGAGAAACTGCCGAATTTGGATCAACTTACAGCAGCACTGTTCGGTTCTAAGAAATATTTTAATTCATACAAATGCTTTTAATATTTTAATGCATACAAATAATTGTCTTCAAGTTCCTAGATTGATTCAATCTATTGTACCTGACACTATTGTCTTTAAATTTTGATTACTGTGAGATGCTCTTTCTTATATGTAAGTTCAATGTGATTGTCATTCTTGAAAATAAAGCTATATTCTATTCTAATAAGGATTAGATTAGGAATGGAAAAAAAGGATACAAGGATAAAAATGCTTTGAAACTAAAACTACTATAATAACGTACCACTCGATAACATTTCACTTCTTGAATTTTCGACATTCACACAGTGGTAATTTCACCACCAAGCAAAACACAAAAGAAAGAAATATCCTCTAATGTACACTATATTTCACCGATTCCGCGACTCATCGAATCAACAGGAAAATTTACAATGTTGCTATTTCCTTAGGTAGTTTATCAAGAAGTTGATTAAATAAAATAAAAGTTGAAACAGCACAGTAATCAAATTTTTCATCCAGTTTATTCACTAAACCCATAAACATTTACAGAAAACTGAATATTTGGATTTTTTCAGGCTTCTTTAACGTGGGGGCCATGGATTTGGTATAGAGCTTGGTCAGCAGGATCATCTGCCTTGTCTGCAGTTGATACTGTTGGTGAATTTCTAGCATCTTTTTTTGGGATTACAACTCCTAGGTTTGCTTTTTAGATTAAAGGTAGTGTTTGTTACATAAATATTAATATTTTTTCAGGTATTATTTTGAACTTCTTGAATATAAACGTCGAGAAGAGGAGAAGCTAAGACAACAAGAAGAAGTAAAAGGGTGGTCTCAACCAGCTGCGACTTCTGTTTCGGTACCTCTGAATGAAGTAAAGAGTTCGCCTTTATCTGTAGATGTTTGAATTGATCAGGAATACAATTTCACATGAAAATAATCCTTCATATTTTAATTGACTTTGGTCCTTTCGTTTTTTTTACAACTCAGAATTGTTTCTTGCTTGTCTTTATTTACATTATTTATATAGCAAATTGTTGTTTGGGCTATATTGATATTTATTTTGTACTATACAAATATAATATTAAATGTTGAAAGAAAAATTCGTTATCATATGTTTATTTAAAAACCTAGCAACTTGCAAGCCAAAAATTCCGGGGATTGAGTTGTACCAAAGGCTGTATGTTTATATAAGAAACACACCTTGGAAAGGAGGCATCTTTTACATTTTTGCAATATATCAATATACTTTTAAAGAAACATAAGGATGAATTTCTAACATAAATTTACTTGTCAACGTTTAACAATACTTGTTTTTTATATCACCATAGCAATAAAAATATATGAGAAAGAAGTATACAGAATTTTCATATACAACTTATATTCTAATTATTGATTTTAATAATTTTTTGATTAGGCGAAACTAGTTTCAACTCGAATGATAACCAAATCCAAAAAAATTATAATTACAAACGAGCCAATTATCCTGCATTATATAATGCGCTACTTTCCACGAATTGGTCTTTCCTTCGAAATTGTAGATGATGTGAATTTAGCTGTTAGTAATTTCTATGATGTCTTATATAATATTATTAATTCAGATGCTCCTGTTTTTAAAGTATTCAAACATAAATATTCCAAATGGTATACATCCGAGATTATTTGCAATATCAAAAAGAAAGCTAAGTGTGCGAGAAGTACAAGAAAACTGGTAATATGCAGCACAATTATGAATTCAAGAGCCTTAGAATTGTCATCAAAAACCAAATCAAAGCTGCATATCTGCCAGTTTATAAAGAGGCAAAGAGAAAACACCAAGCCTTAATTAAAGAAAAAATATTTCCGAAATAAGATATATGAAGCCCCTAATGAGAGCCGTGCCTCATGGAATGTGGCATCTGAATTAACAAACATAGAACATACAATGACATAAATATTAGGTTGGATGACCAGCTCATAGAAGACCCAGGAACTCTCTTCCTTGTTTAATACTTTTTTTATCAACACTCCTACTAAGTTGGTGAATCAAATACGCTCTACAAACAGTATGCTATTCCTGATTTGCTGGTTTCTCCTTGCTGTGTGTGTTTCTTTTGCTCGGTAATGTGAACTTTCAATGGCCTCTTAGTTTCACCAATGTATGATTCTCCACACTCTTGGAATCGCAGTTTGCGTTTGAAGGCTTGGTTTTTGTGAGGCTCCTACGGATAGTGTTCCCTGATTTGAAGCAGGTTCTGATGTCACACTTGGACCCAATTCTTCTTATCCTTTCCGACAATCCTCTGATGTAGGGAAGTGAGGCTCTTGCTGTCTTCTAGCCAAAGTCTGTTCCACCATCACTTTGGAGTAACCATTCCGTTGAAGGTCATTTTTGATGATGCCTAGTACCTTCTCGAGACCTTCCTTTGTATTACAGAGCCTAAAAGCACGGTCTATCAGAGTCTTTATGATTCCTCTCTTAGTCGATTGATGATGGTTGGATTCCTGGGGCAGGTACTGTCCCGCGTGAGTGGGTTTTCCGTATACAGATGTTTATCATTTATTATCGGTCATCTTCACCAATACGTTTAAGAATGGCAATTCGTTGTGGACTTCGTTCTCCATTGTAAAAGTGATGGAAGGACTTATGTTACGTCGGTTTGAGCGATTATTAGCTCCAGAGATTCAGCTACTCAAAACTTGTCCAGATTTTTACTACCAATAATAAAACCACTGTGGGGAAAAACACATCTTTTGTGAAGAATTCAAGGCATTTTGTCGGGAAATCTAAGTCACAGAGCAGGATCAACTAATCAGTTTCGACGTGGAAAGCCTCTACATCTACACCAATGTTCCTGTCGAAGAAACACTTCAAATCATACAGAGGAAGCTATCCAAAGATGGGGACCTGAAAGATAGAACAAACTTACCAATACAAGTTATCGTGGAATTACTAGGATGCTGAGTACAAAAGTGCTATTTCCAACTGAATGGGATCGCCTCTTTCACCGATTATAGTCAACATATATATGAAGTGGTTTGAAACTCTGGCCATTGAAGAAGCCCACAAGAAGCGCCGAGTCTGCTTGAGATACTTTGATGACACCTTCATAATATGGAACCATGGGAATACAGAACTAGACACCTTCCTGAAGTACAACAACAACAACGTAAGTCCTGTTATCACTTTTACTATGGAGAAGGAAGTCCACAATGAATTGCCATTCTCGGACATATTGGTGAAGAGGACTGACACTAAATGGGAAACATATATATACCGAAAACCCACTCACACGGGCAGTATCTGAACCAGAAATCCAACCACTATCAATCGACTAAGAGAGAAATCATCAAGACTCTAGTAGACTGTGCTTTCGTGTTCTGTAATACAAAGGAAGGTCTCGAGAAGGAACTAGGCATTGTGGATACTAACGTAACTTGGCTTGGAATCTTTTAATTTTAATTTCTTGTTAGTAGTTAATTTTTTAAATTGTTGCTTGTATTTCATTGTAATTAAATTTTTTTGCTTAATAAAATTGTTATTTTTTAGCAAATATTTTTAATTTTTATAGATCTTTTTTGGACTTCAAATCAACTTGTATCATATTAGACAATGGAAGTCCGAACTAATGAAAAGAATATCTACAATAATAAAAAATTGAAGCAACAAATGAATGAATGAGGTTATAAAAGAAACTCACCAAATTCATGTTAATAAGAAAATATTGGCATTTGCAAAACACATAAAAGTTGGGCAGAGCAGAACTTGGTTGTCAAAAAAAGTACAAATGCACGGAGCCATCTTTTGACATGCATCTTTGCACTTGGCTGCATCATACCGANCTTTATTATAAAGTCATACATAAATAAAAATCTAGTAGGTGGTAGAAAAACTGACCTCATTTCCATCATCATTAATAATGAATCAGATTTCGTGTAGGAACTATTTGAACAGAATACATTTTCACCTGAAATGATTTATTTTATGAATATATACTAACTTACTTCCCGTAAACAAAGTTATGCTGCTTTCAATGTAAGGATGGAAAAGGCCTCTCTATTGTAGAATCGTCCATTGATAATTGACTTGGACATGTCCTTCATTCACATGCTGACTTTCCGTGCGTTCCACTAACGCTCACAACGATCAAATTGCTCCTATAACCGTTTCGCATAATGAACACGGTCATTGTGATCGCCTCGACAACGTCACTCATAACGTCATTACTTTCACTCAAGGCAAGCTTACAACGACCTTTCTCAAAAGGTACGTCGAAGTGGACGTTGAGAATATTTCAGCGCAATTTTTGAAATATGACATAAATGTTATCTGGCATTCGTAATTCATTTCTAATTTCTTATTTCGTTATTCAATCTCATAAGTAATCAATGGAATAATTACTTACACATAATCAAGTAAATTTAAGAGTACCATAAATTTAGATTATAATCTAAGTGTGCAATTAGACATGAGATTTTTAAAATTTACAGTGTAATATGTGATAGAAAATCATGTAATTATCTGAAATGACTTTTGAATTCTTCATCTGAATAACGATAAAATACATTCTCTTAATCAATAACACGTGACCTGAGTTTTCGGTTTCCACGATTATAGTTTTGTAAACTTGCAATCTACTCTCCATCTGAACTAGATGAATTAGTTTTTAGAGCACAGAAGACAAAAAAGTCTTCTGAGTTCTATAGAGCACAAATGAGGAATCACCTCCTTAAATGTTTTACACTTATTTAGTTACATCCTGTATAATCACCTTCCAGATTATTCAAAGGTCTTGAATAGTTTTCCTCTGTTCAAAAAATCATTAAAAAAATATTTATCAGAAAAATGTTTTTATGCTTTGCAGGAATTCTTTGAATAATGCATAGTCGTCTTAGTTTTAGAGCTTGAGCCTGTCTTTCTCTTTTCTTTTCTTTTTTAATTTGTATTGTATTGACACTTCCTACACAATTTTATTGTCCTACTGGAAATAAATAATTATTATTATTATTATTATCATTACTTCTGCATCTCAGCTTGAAGAGGGGTGTTCAATAGCGCCAAACTTCAGACTGTTTAAAATATTAGGATTGAGTAATACTTCATGTGGGACATACTTTTCTGAACTAGACGTCCTGGCAGTGCCTTCACTGCATTTCCTGGGCCTTGTCAACTTTTTGAAGGAATATCCCCATCTGTTTCTACAAATGCTGATCAATATTCTACTAATATGAACCTCCAGACTAGACCATACTAGAACCTCAACAAGGGATCATTTCTTTTCAAGAGAGGAACAATTTTTCCTAATTTCAAAATATTTGGGAAAATGTCGTCTTCCACAGATTTGTTGATGCAAGTGCAAGTGGTTCACATATATACTCAGAAATGGCTTTGATAATTTTTGTGGAGAGACAGTCCATGCCAGTGGAATTTTTATTTTTGTGTCCAAGAGTTCAAAATGTTGTCCATTCACTAACTGACAATACCCTAAACGTAACTGAAACTCGTTTTGAACATTTCTGATTACTTCGCCGGAAATTAGCCTACACTCCTGTTTTATTCGTTCTTTCAAAGCATCAATATTTGCCGGTTTGATCTTAAAAACTTTGCACTTGAAGAAAAAGTCCAAAGGTGTTAAATCTGGAGACCTAGGTGGCCACTCATAGGGTCCTCTTCTGCCAATCCATCCGCCTGGAAATACATCATTCAGGTACTCACGGACAGGTCTTGCAAAATGAGGAGGCGCGCCGTCCTGAAACCAGATGTTTCTATTCGGGACGTCAGCTTCTACAGAACAAGGGAACAAAATATCCAAATTCGGAACTAGGTCCTCCTGCAAGAATTCTAAATATCTTGCTCCAGTAAGATTTTCTTGGAAGAAAATCGGACCTATAACTCGATCACCAACGATCCCTGCCCAAACATTGACTTTTTCTGGATGTTGAGTGTGGCCTTCGCTCATCCAGTGTGGGTTTTTGTCTGCCCAATAACGACAATTTTGACGATTCGCCACACCATTCAACATGAACGTTGATTCGTCAGAAAATAGAACGTTTTCTTTTTGTACAATATTCCTGTCTAGTGGATACATCATTTGTTCGCAAAACTGGAGAAGAGGATACTTCTCTCTG